ATACCCATTGAGGTCACGCCTCTGAGGCGGGGCATCTAGGCAAGGACAGGCTGGCCATGTGGCGAACAGGCCGAGCCACAGCACGCACAACGACCTCCTGAGAGGGTCAACCTTTGTGGTGAGGAGTACGGGCACGCATCTGATTGGCTAATTAATTTACAAATTAACGTATTATACATTCGTAGTGGTTTATGTAGGCCAATAATTACTAGTTTGTTAATTATTAACTACCTAGTCGTGATATGCTTAATCATAATTAACGATTAAAATAAAATGAACCAGTTGTCTAAATATTTCTGGAGGTGATGCTGCATTTGGCAGTGGTGACACAAACGCAACAAAAACACCACGGGTGAGTAAGTGGGTCAGTGGGTTGGTGAATGAATGGGAAACTGAGTAAGTAGGTGAGTGAGTGAGTTAGTGATAGGTGGGTGAGTGAGTGGGTTGGTGAGTTGAGTGAATGGATTAGCGAGTGGGTGAGTTAGTGAACGAGTGGGTGAGTAAATTAGTGAATGACTGATTTAGTGGGTGATTTATTGAGTGGATGAGTGAGTGGAACCATGGGTGAGTTTGGGAATGGATGGGTGAGTGAATTAGTAAGTGCTTAAGTGGGTGAGTGGATGAGTGAGTGGGTCGGTGAGTGAATGAGTGGGTGAGTAAGTGGATGAGGAATCCACACAACATCTGCCCCCTCTCTCTCTCCCTGAGCGTTCACATCTCTAAATATCCGGGAAGCTTGTTCCGTCCTTCCTCTAAGTCCTTTTAGCCCCAAAAATGTAGAGCCGGCCAGACACGTGGTGTCCAGGCGCGCGTTGCGAGTCGCGTGACAGAGGAGCCGCTGAGAGATGCCGGGCAGATTGCGTGGCACTGTGTCTGTATGTGCCTGTGTGTGTCACTGATGGTGTCAGTGACTGATGGTGTTTAGTGGCAGCCCCAGCTATGTCTGTGTGTCTCTAACTGTGTGTGTGCGTGTGTGTCTGTGTGTGTGTGCCACTAATGGCATCAGTAACAGCCTCAGCTGTGTTGATGCATCTGTGTGTGTGTGTGTCTGTCATGTGTGTCTGTTGTGTGTGTATGTGTGTGCGCTTGTCACTGATGGTGTCAGTGACAGCCTCACCTGTGTGTATCTGTGTGTATCGTGTGTGTGTGTGTGTCACTGATAGTGTAGTGACAGCCTCACCTGTGTCTGTGCGTGTCTGTGTGTGTGTTTGTGCGTGTGTCTCTGTGTGAATGTCACTGATGAATGTGGGGAGCGGTAGTGTAGCGGTAAAACCCGTTGCGCTAAGAACCAGGGGACCCAAAGTCCAGTGACGATAATAAAAATTGGTTCTGGGCCTCCCTTAGGTTGACTCAGCCTCAAGTGAGAACCTGGTGTGGTGTGTGGTAAACATCGCCGATAGGGAGACAAAGGCGGCCGGACGTGGTTCTGACCCCCCACCCTCGTGTGCCATGCCCGCCTTCGTAGGTGCAGCTACCCACTATGAACGGCACTTGCCCCAACAGTTTGTTCAGGCTCTATGGGGGATCTTTGTCCTTGTTTGTCTTTGTCTCTGTGTTTCGAGGTCTCTGTGTCCGTGTGGATGTATGTCTGTCCGGCAAAAACAACTCTCCGCCTCCTCGGTGGTGCCGGACGCTAGCACTGTGGTGGATCTAAGCAACGCCCTGGAGTGAAAGCCAATTCCAAAATCGGCTCTTCCCCTCATGGCGATTGCAGCCACCACAGCGGCCAAATGGCGGCTCTGGATGGGTGCGAGGGGCTGGTAACCCCTCCCCTTTCCATACAAGTACCACTAAACCACGAAATAAACATCTAGTTAAGCTTGTGCCAGAGGCCCCAGGGGGACAGGCACCCATGACGTCACCTGGCCAAACCTTATTTGGCAGAGCCAGGAGATTGAATCATTACCCTCGGCGTTCCTCCAGTAAACAGCAAAAATCCACTGCGAGTGGCCACGTGGAATGTTCGAATTCTCACTCCTCTGTCGGGAGCTGGACCAGCACCGTCTGGATCTCTGCGGTATTCAGGAGGTCCGGTGGACCAGTTCTGGCTCCAGTCACCATGAGGGGTGGATGGTTCACTACTCGCGGCAGGAGACTGCCAAACGAGTTGGTCATGATGCTGGCACCTGGTCTGCAGTAATTGGAAGGCATGGTCCAGATCAGTTTAATAACAACGGTAGGAGGCTGCTAAAGGTTTGTGCAGCCCATGGGCTTGTAATTACCAACATGGTGTTCTGGAATCGGCACATCCACACAACATCATGGATGCATTCCGGATTCAAGCAAAAACATCTTCTGGACTTTATAGTGATGTAACAGCGGATGCGGGTCCATGTCCTTGACACCAGGACCTACCGTGGAGCTGATCTTCCCACTCACTATCGGCTTCTCATCTGTAAGATGCGCCTGCCATTCTTATACTCCGGTGGTGGGTGTACACCCTGGACCCCATTCCAACCTAAAGTGGCCTGGTCTCAGCTCGCTGATTAAAGTTTCAAGCGAGTATTTCATCATCACTTGCAGCTGGGGTTGGCATCATTCCCCCCCACCCCGTCCTCCTGATGCCAAGGGGAAATGGGCGAAGTTTAGGACTGCGGCACATGCAGCCGCAATGGCTGCATTGGGTACACGGTCCAGACCTCCCCAGAGAGCCTGGCTGACAGAGGAGGTGTTCAGACTGGCTGAGAAAAAGCGACAGGCCCACTCTCGCCGTCTACAGCCTCCTATGTCGGAGAATGAGGAGGCTTACCGCAGCCTTTGCTCGGAGGTTCGGAGAGCCGTGAGGCCCTGCAAGGATGGGTGGTGTCGCAGGTTGCTGTGGAGATGGAGTCTTCCTCAGTGGCCCGCAAATCACAAATCACTGTTTAACTCCATTAAAAAAGTAACTTGCAGCGCCACACCTAAAACCATCATTAGGGGAAAGAACGGTGATCCAATCCCCAACCCCCAGGAACAGGTTTGCAGATTTTCTGAGCATTTCTGCGAGGTTTTGGGGAAGGGAAGTCCCTTGGCCTGGAAAACATAATGGGGCAAAGTGGGAATGACCCTGCTGAGGCTGCGGTGTCTTAAATATTGGAAGAAGTCACCCTCTGTGAGTGGCTGCCTGACATGACATCTGTAGATGAAGTACAGAAGGCGATCCAGAGTCTGAGATGAGGAAAAGCACCAGGCAGAGATGATCTCCCAAGCTAAATGCTAAGGGAGGGTGGCGTTTGTGCACAGACTGCCCTACATGACATCATAACAACAGTCTGGACGACTGGACGGGTCCCGCAGGATTGCAAGGATGCTCTGGTGGTCCCTCTCTTTAAGAAGGGGGCCCACGCAGACTGTAACAACTACAAGTGCATCTCACTTTCCAGAGCCCCAATGTGGTTTCAATAAAGGGCGGTCCTGCACAGATGCCATATTTTCTGTCCAGATGCGACAGCAGAGGTGTAGGGAATTCCAACAAGACCTACATCTCTGCTTTATTGACCTGGTCAAGGCCTATGATACCATCAGTAGGCCTGGGCTTTGGGTTGTTCTTCATGCAGGCCCAGGTAAAACTATGTGGCCAGGAGTCGGAGCCATTCCCTGTTCACCTTGGGGTGCAACAGGGATGTCCTCTGCCTCCCACATTATTTAACATCTATTTTGACCACGTAGTTCGTGAAGCCTTCAATGGCTGTACCGGAGGAAGTTCCCATCTGGTACAGATAAAATGGGAGGCTGATCGATGTCTGGTGCGGCCAATGATTGGCTCCCTATTGCTCAACAACGTTATGTATGTCAATGATCTGGTAATTGCTTGTCACTCAGAGGAGGAGTTGGAGGTGCTGCTGCTGAACCTGGAGCGTGCCACCAAGAGGTGGGGCCTTACCATCAGCCCCACCAAAACTAAGCACCTGCCTGGGTATTTTGTAGTTTCAGACACTCCACCCCCACAACTCCCAATTGGTGATGGGGCAGTTGTGGAGAGAGTGGAGAGTTTCCCATACCTGGGCAGTGTGCTCATGAGCGGCTCTGGTTTCACAGCAGAGGTCTCACTCCAAATAAGTCTAGCGGCATTATCTTTTCATCGGTTGTGTAACACTGTGTGGAAGCTACCTGGTCTGTCGCTCCACATAAAGCTTCAGGTCTTCTCGGCCACAGTCATGCCCTCCCTTCTCTACGCTTGCGAAACGTGGACCCACCTAATAGAACATCTTTAACCAGGCTGAATTGTGTGAGGAGCTCACAAATCCTTGAAAGATCTGGACAGATTCCCATCGGTGAGCTCCTCCGGCAGGCAAGGTTGGGTTTGCTGGGTCACGTCGCCCGCATGCCCAGCCACCGCATGCCTAAACGGGCGTGGCACGGGCTAGAGAATAGATGGAATGATCCGGTAACTGGCAATGATTGGTACCAGCGGTGTCAAGATCGGCCTCTGTGGAGGAGGCTCGTGAAGGACGCTGCTACTTGGCAATAGGAGGCTGTTGCCCAACAGCAACAATGGAAGGCAGCGGAGCGACGTTCACAGCAATGAGCAGAGTGCGAGGTGGCTAAAACACAGCAAGTTGGCACAGTAGGGGCCACAGGTGGTGCATCGGCCACTCATCTCAGTCAGTCGACCCGTGTTACCTGCTGGGTCTGCCACGTGACCTCCTGCCAGCGGGCGTTCGACACGTCACGTGGTAGCCGCAACGTCACCGCCCTCTAGTGGCGAATGGCGGCTGTTGTTGTATCTGCCAGGCAGCCATCCGCCCAGAACAGCTTTGCATTAGTTCTGAAACTGATTTCAACTCCTCCAGCCTCCTTCCCCCCTCCTGTCCCTCCCCCCCTCCCGTCTCCCACCATTCCTCCTGCTCAATCCCCCTCCCTACCCCTCCTCCTCCTCCCCCTCCATCCCTCTCCCCCCCTCCTCCCCCCTTCCATTCCCCCCTCACCCCCCCCTTCACCCCCCCCCCCTTCATCCCCCCCTAACTCCTCCCCCCCCTTCCTCCCCCCCCTTCCTCCCCCTTCCTCCTAATGCCTCCCAGATGTCTGTGGATGCTCAGGGATTGGACGAGGGTAGCAGCCGCCGCCGCCGGCGAACGCCACGGGAAATGAAGGAAGACAAAGACGGACGGCGAGGCCACCGTTAGCAGTCCTCGCCGCTCCGGGCAATCACCGTCGCGGCGATCGTTTGCCGGTAAACAAACAACCGGTTGCATTGAGTTTGTGTGTGTGAGTGTGTGTGTCTGTGTGTATGTGTGTGTGTCTGTGTGTGTTTGACTGTGTGTGAGTGTGTCTGTGTGTGTGTATGTGTGTGTGTGTATGTGTGTGAGTGTGTGTGTATGTGTGTGTGAGTGTGTGTGTGTGTCTGTGTGTGTGAGTGTTTCTGTGTGTCTGTGTGTGTCTGTGTGTGTGAGTGTTTCTGTGTGTCTGTGTGTGTGACTGTGAGTGTTTCTGTGTGTCTGTGTGTGTGTCTGTGTGTGTCTGTGAGTGTTTCTGTGTGTCTGTGTGTGTCTGTGTGTGTCTGTGTGTGTGAGTGTTTCTGTGTGTCTGTGTGTGTGACTGTGAGTGTTTCTGTGTGTCTGTGTGTGTGTCTGTGAGTGTTTCTGTGTGTCTGTGAGTATTTATGTGTCTGTGTGTCTGTGAGTGTTTCTGTGTGTCTGTGTGTGTCTGCGTGTGTGTGTGTCTGTGTGTCTGCGTGTGTGTGTATGTGTGTCTGTGAGTGTTTCTGTTTGTCTGTGAGTGTCTGCGTGTGTGTGTGTCTGTGTGTCTGTGAGTGTTTCTGTGTGTGTCTGTGTGTGTCTGTGTTTCTGTGTGTCTGTGAGTGTTTCTGTGTGTGTCTGTGAGTGTTTCTGTGTGTGTCTGCGTGTGAGTGTTTCTGTGTGTGTCTGTGAGTGTTTCTGTGTCTGTGAGTGTTTCTGTGTTTGTGAGTGTTTCTGTGTGTGTCTGTGAGTGTTTCTGTGTTTGTGAGTGTTTCTGTGTGTGTCTGTGAGTGTTTCTGTGTGTCTGTGAGTGTTTCTGTGTGTGTATGTGAGTGTTTCTGTGTGTGTGTGTCTGTAAGTGTTTCTGTGTGTGTATGTGAGTGTTTCTGTGTGTGTCTGCGTGTGAGTGTTTCTGTGTGTGTCTGTGAGTGTTTCTGTGTCTGTGAGTGTTTCTGTGAATGTGTGTCTGTGAGTGTGTGTGTCTGAGTGTCTGTGTGCTTATGTGGGGAGCGGTGGTGCAGTGGTTAGCGCGCTGTGTGTGGGGAGCGGTGGTGCAGCGGTTAGCGCTCTGTTTGTGGGGAGCGGTGGTGCAGTGGTTAGCGCGCTGTGTGTGGGGAGCGGTGGTGCAGTGGTTAGCGCGCTGTGTGTGGGGAGCGGTGGTGCAGTGGTTAGCGCGCTGTGTGTGGGGAGCGGTGGTGCAGCGGTTACCGTGCTGTGAAAACATTTTGCATGAACCAATCGATTCCGATTCTTGTCATTACATTATTTGTTGGAACGCGATTCCCCTTAAGCGGTAATGCATGGTGAGAAATCGATTTAATTTCGTACGATCCGAATTATTGGGAATCGAATTTCAAAACATGAACGTGGCACCTTCGTGGTTGTATTGATGGCAATGATGGCGGTGATGATAATCAGGGTGATGATGGTAATGATGGTGGTGATGATAATCATGGTGATCATGGTGGTGGTGATGGTGGTGATGATGGTCATGTTGATGATGGTAATGATGGTGGTGATGATGCTGATGGTGCTGATGGTTGTGGCGCTTTTGGTTAGAGCCGACTTCAAGGCTCACCTTCATTGCCACCGGTGCGGGATGAAGCGAGCACGGGGCCCGCAGCAAATGTTATAAAGGGGCCCTAATAAAACAACAACAACAACAAATAAACACTTAAATATTAAAAAACAAATTTTTATTTAAAGCTTTCGTGACTGCAGTAATTCATATTCTTAGCTCTTTCGGTAAAGTCACGTTGAAGGGAAACAATAAAATAATGAAATATATAAAACAATAAAAAATTCTCACGACCGTTTGTGTTATGGTCGTAACGTCGTGAGAATTTTTATTGTTTTATATATATATTATTATTTTATTGTTTCCCTTCAACGTGACCTTACCGAAAGAGCTAAGAATATTAAAAAAACACGTAACTTTTTAATTTGCGTAGTAAAGTAATTGTAACTTTTTCATTTGCTATACACGCCCAAATAATAGGACACATCGCTAACCTTTAAACACCCAGTCATTCAATTCTAGATTTAAAACTTTCGTGACTGGAAGGATCCATACTCTGTGGTTCTATTGGGTAACCTACGTGACTTTACCCAATAGAACCAAAGAGTATGGACCCAGTCGTTCGTTAAATTCGAAGGCGGTACAGTACTGTAGTAACAGAGCAAGTGCGGAATCACCGAACCGGAATTGATATCGTGAAAGCGTTCAGCGCGGGGCCCTTGAGAGTGCGAGGCCACATCCACTAAGGGGGTCTTCCAGCACCGATAGCAACCACCGTTGTTGCATTGCCGCTAAGCACAGTCACACTCGTCTATGGGGCCCTCCATAAATGACGTCACGCACCTAGGGGGGGCGGGGTCAGACGTTTGTGACGAAGGGAGGGGGGGTTTGATGAATGTGACGTCACACGTAAAAATGCGCGACTTTATAAATAAATACAGACAACACGTTCTACTTAATTAAATAGACTTTGTTTAATAAATGTATTCTCCTACAACATCAGAGTGCAGCAGCCACATTAAATACGCAACTACAATGACAACAATAGTTTAAAGCGATTTGAAGCATGTTTTATTTTGGGGGGGGGCAGAGCTTTGTGACGTCATATTTGAGGGGTGGGGGGGTCTGAATTTTCGTGACGCCGCGTGACGAGGAGATGGGGGGTCAAAAATCGTCCAAAATCGCGTGACGTCATTTATGGACGGCCCCTATATGGTGTGGGTCGAGTGTAATGAGAGAGCAATGGATATCAAGACGAGAGGCGAGTTGGGTTCGTCTTGAATTTCCAGACAAGCTCCCCCGCTAAGACCGGAAGCCGGTGGTGGGTGTCTCCACTGTCCTGGCAAATCTCCTCAAGATGCTGGAAGCATCAATGGTACAGTATATTTTTCAAGTAGTGGTATCCCAAACTTTCGTAGCTCTTAAAAATTCCCTTTTCACACCATCAATAGGTAAACTCCTCCTCCCCCTCGCCAACCGGCAAGTCCACCCGCACGTACACCACCTCTATGCTAAAGTCGGCCAATCAAATGCTAATTTTTTATGCTAATTCCTTTGTCAAGGCACCTTGTTTACTCGCACACAGCTTAAAGGTCGCGGTCTGAGCGTGGCTGTGTTTCACTCCAGCGCTGTCCTCGAGACAGCCTGATCCCTTCACCTGATGAAGGCCGCTTGTGTTGTGGCCGAAACGTCGTGATTTTTTGTTGTTTTATTTTTTACCTACGTGGTGACTTTACCGAATAGAACCAAAGAGTATGCTGGAAGCAATTTACAGACGAACGCCGTACGACTTGAATTGTCAAAGTTGTGGATCCACCCTTCAACGCAACGGTGGCCTAAATTAGCGAACTATTTCGTCTTTTGTAAACGTGACACTTGTTCCGCTGATTGGCCGTGTCGGGTGGTGGAGGGCTGCGACACAACAAGAAGTAATGTTTTAAGAAAAAAAACTTTTTTTTTAAAACGCTCTTTAATGTGATGTCCGTACGAGTAATGGCAGGAAGTGGCCCCGAAGCTCGCCACAACGTAAGGGGCCGTGGCCAATTACAGCCAACGTCAGTCACGCGCTGACGCTCGACGTCACGCGGTGACGTCACCCGGTGACGCTCGACGTCACGCGGTGACGCCACGCGGTGACGCTCGACGTCACGCAGTGACGTCACTCGGTGACGCTCGACGCACGCGGTGACGCTCGACATCACGCGGTGACGTCACTAGGAGACGCTCGACGTCACGCAGTGACGTCACTCGGTGACGTTCGACGTCACGCGGTGACGCCGAGCGTCACTCGATGGTGCTGATGGTGCTGATGGTGATGATGATGGTGCTACTGATGATGGTGCTGATGGTGCTGATGGTGATGATGATGATGGTGCTACTGATGATGGTGCTGATGGTGATGATGGTGATGATGCTGATGATGATGGTGCTACTGATGATGGTGTTGATAATGCTGAAGATTATTGTGCTGATGCTGCTGATGATGATGCTTCCTTCACTTCGTACGCAGTGGTTAGCGCACTGTGTGTGGGGAGTGGTGGTGCAGTGATTAGCGCACTGTGTGTGTATGGGGAGTGGTGGTGCAGTGGTTAGCGCACTGTGTGTGTGTGGGGAGTGGTGGTGCAGTGGTTAGCGCACTGTGTGTGTATGGATGGGGAGTGGTGGTGCAGTGGTTAGCGCACTATGTGTGTGTGGGGAGTGGTGGTGCAGTGGTTAGCGCACTGTGTGTGTGTGGGGAGTGGTGGTGCAGTGGTTAGCGCACTGTGTGTGTATGGGGAGTGGTGGTGCAGTGGTTAGCGCACTGTGTGTGTGTGGAGCGGTGGTGCAGTGGTTAGCGCACTGTGTGTGTATGGGGAGTGGTGGTGCAGTGGTTAGCGCACTGTGTGTGTGTGGGGAGTGGTGGTGCAGTGGTTAGCGCACTGTGTGTGTGGGGAGTGGTGGTGCACTGGTTAGCGCACTGTGTGTGGGGAGTGGTGGTGCAGTGGTTAGCACACTGTGTGTGTGGGGAGTGGTGGTGCAGTGGTTATCGCACTGTGTGTGTGTGGGGAGTGGTGGAGCAGTGGTTAGCGCACTGTGTGTGTGTGGGGAGTGGTGGTGCAGTGGTTAGCGCACTGTATGTGTGTGGGGGGAGTGGTGGTGCAGTGGTTAGCGCACTGTGTGTGGGGAGTGGTGGTGCAGTGGTTAGCACACTGTGTGTGTGTGTGGGGAGTGGTGGTGCAGTGGTTAGCGCACTGTGTGTGTGGGGAGTGGTGGTGCAGTGGTTAGCGCACTGTGTGTGTGTGTGTGTGGGGAGTGGTGGTGCAGTGGTTAGCGCACTGTGTGTATATGGGGAGTGGTGGTGCAGTGGTTAGCGCACTGTGTGTGTGTGGGGAGTGGTGGTGCAGTGGTTAGCGCACTGTGTGTGTGTATGGATGGGGAGTGGTGGTGCAGTGGTTAGCGCACTGTGTGTGTGTATGGATGGGGAGTGGTGGTGCAGTGGTTAGCGCACTGTGTGTGTGTGTGGGGAGTGGTGGTGCAGTGGTTAGCGCACTGTGTGTGTGTATGGATGGGGAGTGGTGGTGCAGTGGTTAGCGCCATGTGGCTCCAGTGCTGCCGCCGGGTGGCCCCTCCGCTGCTGCTGACGACGGCGCTGCTGCTGCTGCTCCACAAACTCGGCCCCCCGCCACACAGCCTCCTCGCTCGCGGGCCCCCCACAAAGTGAGAGGCGTCACTGGGGGGAGCCACCCCCACCCCCACCTTCACCAACACCACCACCCCACCACCACCACCACCACCTTCACCTCCATCACCACCACCTCCACCACCACCTTCACCACCACCACCACCCCACCACCACCACCTTCACCTCCATCACCACCTCCATCACCACCTCCATCACCACCTCCACCTCCACCACCACCTCCATCACCACCTCCACCTCCACCACCACCTTCACCACCACTCCACCTTCACCATCACCACCTCCACGTCCACCTCCACCACCACCTTCACCACCACCTTCACCACCACCTCCACCACCACCTCCACCACCTTCACCACCACTCCACCACCACCACCACTTAAACCTTCACCACCACCACCACCACTCCACCCCCACCACCTCCACCACCACCACCTCCACCATCACCACCACCACCTCCACCACCACCTCCACCACCACCACCTTCACCACCACTCCACCTCCACCACTACCACCTTCACCACCACTCCACCACCACTTAAACCTTCACCACCACCACCACCACCTTCACCACCACTCCACCTCCACCACCACCACCACCACCTTCACCACCACCACCACCTTCACCACCTCCACCTCCTCCTCCCCATCTCCCTCCCTCCCTCCTCTCCATCTTCCCCAGGCTCGATTCCTCCGCCTCCTCGGGCCGCGTCCTTCGCTTCGACTCATTCGTTCCCGACCCCTCCCCCTCCTCCTCCCCTCCCACCACCGTGGGGGGAGGGGAGGAGGGGGAGGGGGTGGCGGGGGCTGGCGCCCAGCAGTGCCGCGAGGACCCCGCGGTGGCCCAGAGCACGCCGGAGTTCCAGGCCCTGCCGTGGGCCTACCGGCAGCACCTCCTCTACCGACACTGCCGCTACTTCTCGCTGCGCATCGACCAGGCGGGCGCCTGCAGCGGGCCCCACGGCGGTGAGAACGCGGCGGGGGCTGTGGCGGCGGCTGTGGCGACGGCTGTGACGGCGGCTGTGACGACGGCTATGATGACGGCTGTGACGACAGCTATGACGACGGCTATGATGACGAGTATGATGACGACTATGATGACGGCTGTGACGGCGGCTGTGGCGGCGGCTGTGACGGCGGCTGTGACGGCGGCTATGATGACGGCTGTGACGACAGCTGTGACGATGGCTATGACGACGAGTATGACGGTGGCTATGACGACAGCTATGACGGCGGCTATGACGACGGCTGTGACGGCGGCTATGACGATGGCTATGACGACGAGTATGACGGTGGTTATGACGACAGCTATGACGGCGGCTATGACGACGGCTGTGACGACGGCTATGACGGCGGCTATGACGACGGCTGTGACGGCGGCTATGATGACGGCTATGATGACGGCTGTGACGATGGCTATGACGACGAGTATGACGGTGGCTATGACGACAGCTATGACGGCGGCTATGACGACGGCTGTGACGACGGCTATGACGGCGGCTATGACGACGAGTATGACGGTGGCTATGACGACAGCTATGACGGCGGCTATGACGACGGCTGTGACGACGGCTATGACGGCGCCTATAACGACGGCTGTGACGGCGGCTATGACGGCGGCTATGACGACGGCTGTGACGACGGCTGTGACGACGGCTATGACGACAGCTGTGACGACGGCTATGACGACAGCTGTGACGACGGCTATGACGACAGCTGTGACGACAGTTGTGACACACCCCGCCTATGATGACAGCTATGATGACGGCTATGACGGTGGCTATCACGACAGCTGTGACACACGCTGCCTATGACGACGGCTACCTTGGTCGCTACGATGGTAACTATGGCAAACGCTGGCTATGACGACGGCTATGATGGTCACTATTATGGTGGCTATGATGGTGACTATAACACACGCTGGCTATGAAGAAGGCTATGATGGTGACTATAACACACGCTGGCTATGAAGAAGGCTATGATGGTGACTATAACACACGCTGGCTATGACGACGGCTATGATGGTCACTATTATGGTGGCTATGATGGTGACTATAACACACGCTGGCTATGAAGAAGGCTATGATGGTGACTATGACGCATGGTCACTATGTTCGGTGGCTATGATGACGGCTATGACACACGGTGGCTATGACGACAAATGAGTACCCGGTGTCGATGGTGTGTGTAGTCAACGTCGCCACTGGGGGAGACAAAGGCGGCCAGGCGGCGTGGTGGTGCTGCCCTACCAAACCTCTCTTGCGTGCCGTCCTACATCGGTGCTGTTACTCGCTGTAGCACTTGCTCCTACGGTCCGTTAAGGCTACACGGTCGATCTTTGTATTTTGTGTTTCTGTATCTGTCCGCGTGCATGTGTCTGTGTGCGTCTGTCGAGGGAGTGGAGAGTTTCCCGTACCTGAGTGGTGTTCTCATGACCGGCTTCGGTGTGACAGCAGAGGTTTTAATCCGAATCAGTCGAACGGCAATATCTTTTCATTGGCTGTGTAACGCTGTGTGGAAGCTACCTGGTCTGTCGCTCCATACGAAGCTTGCAAAACGTAGACCCCCCCTAATGGAAAATTTCTGCCGGTTAGAAACATTTAGGCTAGCATGCCTACGATCCATCCTGGTTTTAACTAGGCTGGATTGTGTGAGGAGCTCACAAATCCTTTAAATATCTGGACAAAGTCCCATCGGTGAGCTCCTCCGGCAGGCAAGGCAGCGTTGGCTGGGTCATGTAGCCCACATGCCCAGCCACCGCATGCCGAATCAGCTTTTGTTCGGCCGGATAGAAGGTGCTAAACGGACGCAGCACGGGCTAGAGAAGAGATGGAGTGATGTGGTACAGGAAGACGTGGAGCTGAGTGGACTTGCCGATGACTGGTACCAGCGGTGTCAAGATCGGCCTCTGTGGAGGAGGCTCGTGAAGGATGCTACTGGGCAGTTGGAGGTAGTCGCCCTCCAACAACAACGGAGGGCAGAGGAGCGACGCTCACAACAACGAGCGGAGCGCCGGGTGGCTAAAGCACAGCAAGTTGGCACAGTAGGGGGCACAGGTGGTGCATCAGCCAGTCATCTCAGTCAGTCGACCCATGGCACCTGGATCTGCCCCGTGACCTCCTGCCAGCGAGCATTCGACACTTCTCATGGCCTAAACGTGCACATAGCCTGGCACATGCACCGTGGTGACATCACCGCCACTTAGTAGTGTTGTTGTTGTGTATGTGTCTGTAATTTCACTTGCCCCAACAGTCTAGTTAAGGCGACACGGAGGATCTTTGTCTTTGAATTATCTGACCAACCGGTTCTGGGCCTCTAGGACCGGTTTGTCCAGATAATAATCGCCACCATTGGCGTCGGTGTTGTTGCTGGCCATGAGCAGGAATCGAACTCGGGCCTCCACCGGGTTCGTAGCGCAGCGCGGCGTGCTAACCGCTGCACCACCGCTCCCAACTCCTTTCTCTCTCTCTCTCTCCCTCTCTCTTCACTCACGGGCGGGGGGTGGGGTGGCGACTCCCAGCTCCCTACCTCCTGCTGGCCATCAAGTCCCGGGTCCAGGACTTTGGTCATCGCGAGTTGGTGCGGCAGACTTGGGGGGCCCTCGGCGGCACCGGCGATGGTTCCGTGTGGGGTGCCGGGGGGGACCTCCGGGTGCGCCGCGTCTTCCTGCTGGGAACGCTACCAGACTCCGGCAACGCCACCTTCTGGGACGAGTTCCTGAGACACGAGAGCCGCACCTACGGCGACCTCCTCCAATGGGGCTTCCACGACACCTTCCTCAACCTCACGCTCAAGGTGGGGGACTACTCGCAAAAAACGATTACAAACTAAACTACCATTTACGAGACTGGTTTTTTTTTCAGTTGCCAGTATCAAAGTGTTTGGAAGTTCCCGACGACTCACTCGGAGGCTGAGGTAAGTTCAGGGCTTTCGCCTTAGGTTCATTACAAATCTTATTAACAATACCCAGGGGGTGAACAACTTCCCAGGGGTCAGGGGGGTCCCGGGCTAGGTCCCGACACAGCCGGCTGCCCTGTGCTGTCTCCTCCGCGCCGGCCGTGGGATCAGCCAACACGGCCGACCGAGGGGCACAGCCACCTCCAGCCTGGCACTGCGCCCTCTCCCCTATCCCTCCCCTCTTGCCCCTGGCTCCTTGTTCCACCCTTCTCGGACCCTCCACTCCAGCTACGACCCCGCTGACGTCACGGTGTCCGCCCCGTTATGCTTGAGGAGCCATGACGTCATTCTGCTGCCCTGAGCGCATGACGTCACGTCCCGTGACGTCATCGCACTGGACAGCACACGTGACACCACTTCCCCATTCTACTCCTCTACAAAAGTATGAAAAATACGAATACGTTTTACCCTTTTCTGCCAACAACACGGGAGTTGTGTTAAAATGTCCAAATGCCATGTCTGCATTAACCACACGTACTTGTGGCAAAACATTCCAACAAACATGCTCCAGTTTTCTCCTTCATCCACAGCTCCCTCCTTCAACCAAAGCTCTCTCCTTCATCCAACACTTTGTCCTTAATCCACAGCTCTCTCCTTCACCCTAAACTATCTCCGTCATCTACAGCTCCCTCCTTCATTCATAACTCCCTCCTTCAGTCAGATTCTCTCCTTCATCCACAGCTCTCTCCTTCATTCGCAGCTCCCTCCTTCATCCGCAGCTCCCTCCTTTATCCAAATCTCTCTATCCTTCACCCACAACTCCCTCCTTCACTCTCAGCTCCCTCCTTCATTCGCAGCTCCTTCATCCACATCTTTCTCCTTCACCCACAGCTCCCTCCTTCATCCACAACTCTCTCCCCCTCATCCACAGCTCGCTCCTTCATCCACATATTTCTCCTTCATCCACAGCTTTCTCCTTCATCCGCAGCTCTCTCCTTCGCTCACAGCTCCCTCCTTCATCCACAGCTCCCTCCTTTCGCATCGTTTATCATTACTATTAAAACGCCTACCACGACCACAAAATAACCCGTTTTGTTCGCGTGCTCGCTCACGCGCTCACCCTCCCCACTCGGGTGGCCGTGCCACCGTCTCCCGCTGTCTGCTGTGCCGGCAGGAGACCAGCTTTCTCCGCTGGTTCCACGAGCGCTGCCCGCGCGCCTCCTTCGTGCTGCAGTGCGACGCTGACATGCTCGTGAGCGTCCCCAACGCCCTCGAGTTCCTGCGCGGCCCCGACCTCGACCCCGACGATCACCTCTTCGCCGGCGACCTCATCGTGGACGCCCGGCCCATACGCGACCCCCGCAGCAAATACTTCATCCCGGACTCCGTGTACGGTGCCGACCGCTACCCTCCTTACGCGGGCGGCGGCGCCTTCCTGATGTCGCGACGCACCGCGCTTGCGCTCCGGCACGCCTCCGACGCAGTCCCGTCGTTCCCCATCGACGACGTCTTCCTGGGCATGTGCCTCCTGCAGCTCGGGGTCAGTCCCCGGGCCCACGCTGGCTTCAGGACCCTGGGCCTTGACCGCCCCTCGGGACGCAAGGCCGAGGCGGGGGGAGGGGGCCTTTGGGCCGGGGGAGGTGCGGGGGTGGCGAAGGTGGCGAGGTGCCTACTGAGGGACCTGGTGGCCGTGCACGGACTCACGCCCGCCCAGGTGTGGCTGGCGCACCGCTTGGCGGCGATGACGGGCGGCTGCAGGAGGAGGCCTTCGTCGGTGGTGAGGGTGGTCAGGCCGGGGCGGTGGTGGAGGAAGGACTAGAGAGAGGGAGGGGGGGGGGGGGGTGACGTGTGTGGTGGTGAGGTGGGGGGGGGGGGTGTTGTTAGTGGAGCGGCAGTGTAGCAGTTAGCGCTACGCTACGAGCATAGTATCACCGGTCCTGGGCCTCCACTGGGTCGATTCGGCCTCAGATGAATGTCTGGTGGTGTGCGTAACAACATTGCCACTAGAGAGACGAAGGCAGCCGGACGTGGTGCTGGCCACCCTCTCCCTCGTGTGCCGTTCTGGCCTTAATTGGTGCTTGCTAACAGCACTTGCCCCAACAGTCTGTTTAGGCTATACGGGGGTGTGTAGTGTGTGTGTTGGGTGTGGTGTGCGTGTTGTGGGGTGTGTAGTGTGTGTGTGGGGGGAGCGGTAGTGGAGTGGTTAGCGCTACGCTGCGCTACAAACCCTGCGACTAGAGTTCGATTCCCGCTCACGGCCAACACCGGTGACGATTATCTGAACCGGTCATGGGCCACCCCGAGGTGGACTCAGCGAAAAACGAGTACCTGGTGCGGTGTGTAAACATCGCCACTGGGGAGACAAAGACGTCCGGGCGTGGTGCTGGCCACCCACCCCCTCGTGTGCCCTGCCGGCCTTCGTAGGTGCTCGCTGACAGCACTTGCCCCAACAGTCTGTGAAGGCTATATGGGAGATCTTTGTCTTTGTAGTGTGTGTGTGTGTAGTGAGTGTAGTGGGTGTTGTGTATGTAGTGTGTATGGTGGGTGTTGTGGGTGTTGTGTGGGGAAACAGGAGGACCCAGAGAAACAATCCGTGTGTGTGTGTTGCTGTGTGAGCTAACTGCCTGTGGTTGCTGTATCTGCTTGTGGTTTGTTTTTCGATTTGCTGTACTGTCCCACCCGAGCGATATAAATGAGTTTGTTCATTAGACCGAGTCGCTTGCCATGTGTCTGTGCGTCTGTCTGTGTGTGTCTACGTGAGTTAAGCTGAGAGCAGCGTGGCAAAGTCGCTGATATCATCACGTGAAAATATATAGCGGCAGCCAAATAACTCTAAAGGAGTGGTGATGTTGATTCTAAATGGGGAGGGGGAAACCGGAGGACCTGGAGAAAAATCCACACGGCCACAGGGAGAGAGACGCAGGCTCCAAATCTACAGCAGCAGCAGGGATCGTCAAGGTTGGGATCGAACCCACGACCTCCTGCACATCAGGCGAGGTAGTCAACATCTCATAGCCACCGTGATGATGATGAGAGAGACGCAGACTCCACATAGACCTCCTGTGTACCAGGCGAGGTAGTTAACATCTCATAGCCACCGTGATGATATTTGAGAGAGACGCAGACTCCAAATCTACAGCAGCTGCAGGGATCGTCAAGGTTGGGATCGAACCCACGTTCTCCTGTATACCAGGCGAGGTAGTTAACATCTCCTAGCCACCGTGATGATGATGAGACGCAGACTCCACATTAATCTCCTGCACACCAGGCGAGGTAGTTAACATCTCATAACCACCGTGATGATGATGAGAGAGAGACGCAGAATCCAAATATACAGCAGCAGACATCGTCAGGGTCGGGATCGAACCTACGACCTCCTGCACACCAGGCGAGGTAGTCAACATCTCATAGCCACCGTGATGATGATGAGAGAGACGCAGACTCCACATAGACCTCCTGTGTACCAAGCAAGGTAGTTAACATCTCCTAGCCACCGTGATGATGAGACGCAGACTCCGCATAGACCTCCTGTGTACCAGGCGAGGTAGTTAACATCTCATAGCCACCGTGATGATATTTGAGAGAGACGCAGACTCCAAATCTACAGCAGCTGCAGGGATCGTCAGGGTTGGGATCGAACCCACGACCTCCTGCACACTAGGCGAGGTAGTCAACATCTCATAGCCACCGTGATGATGATGAGACGCATACTCCACATTAATCTCCTGCACACCAGGCGAGGTAGTTAACATCTCATAGCCACCGTGATGATGATGAGACGCAGAATCCAAATATACAGCAGCAGACATCGTCAGGGTCGGGATCGAACCTACGTCCTCCTGCAAACCAGGCGAGGAAGTCAACATCTCATAGCCACCGTGATGATGATGAGAGAGACGCAGACTCCACATAGACCTCCTGTGTACCAGGCGAAGTAGTTAACATCTCATAGCCACCGTGATGATGATGAGAGAGACGCAGACTCCACATAGACCTCCTGTTCACCAGGCGAGGTAGTTAACATCTCATAGCCACCGTGATGATGATGAGAGAGAGACGCAGACTCCACATAGACCTCCTGTGTACCAGGCGAAGTAGTTAACATCTCATAGACACAGAAGTGACAGCCATAATCTGAACCGGTCCTGGGCTCCTCGGTAGACTCGGGCTCATAAATGAGGAGCTGCTGCGGTGTAGCGCAGTAAACATCGCCACTGGGGAGACAAAGGCGGCCGGGCGTGGTTGGTGCTGGCCACCCACCACCTCGTGTGCCGTGTCGGTGGGTGGCTTTACAATGGCCAGTGACGTCACCCGCACCCCTCCGGTCGGTGACGTCACTAGCCACATATCAGAGGTTACGCGTCACCAGCACACCTCCGTGACGTTCCTACCGCGTCACGTGATTCTTAGGAACTTCCGGTTCCGGTAGAGAGGTGGGTTAGGGTCTAACCAGTAGCCGTCTACCCGGGACGAACTCCACCCCCTCGCTTATCTCTTTCCCCCATCTCTATCCTCTCTATAATAGGGGTTAGATCGCGTAAATAAATAAATGTGTCGTTAAAACCCGCCACCACCCGACACAGCCAACTAATAAGGGTTGTCACGTAAACAGAACGTGCCAATTCGTCACTAGTACAACACTAGTGTGTAGTGTATAGTGTAGTGTATAGCAGTAGTGTATAGTAGTGTAGTGTGTATATAGTGTAGTGTATAGTGTAGTGTGTATAGTAGTGTAGTGTCTGGTAGTGTAGTGTATAGTGGTGTGTAGTAGTATAGTGTGTAGTGTAGTGTATAGTAGTGTAGTGTCTATAGTAATGTAGTGTATAGCGTAGTGTATAGTAGTGTAGTGTCTGGTAGTGTAGTGTATAGTGGTGTGTAGTAGTGTAGTGTGTAGTGTAGTGTATAGTAGTGTGTAGTGTAGTGTATAGTAGTGTAGTGTCTATAGTAATGTAGTGTATAGCGTAGTGTATAGTAGTGTAGTGTATAGTAGTGTGTAGTAGTGTAATGTATAATGTAGTGTATAGTGTAGTGTATAGTAGTAGTGTAGTGTATAGTAGTGTGTAGTAGTGTATAGTGTAGTTTATAGTAGTGTAGTGTGTATAGTAGTGTGTAGTAGTGTAGTATATAGTGTAGTGTACAGTAGTGTAGTGTATAGTGTTGTGTGTAGTGTATAGTAGTGTGTAGTGTATAGTAGTGTAGTGTATAATAGTGTAGTGTATAGTAGTGTAGTGTATAGTGTAGTGCATCGTAGTGTGTAGTAGTGTATAGTAGTGTGTAGTAGTGTAATGTATAATGTAGTGTATAGTAGTAGTGTAGTGTATAGTAGTGTGTAGTAGTGTATAGTGTAGTTTATAGTAGTGTAGTGTGTATAGTAGTGTGTAGTAGTGTAGTATATAGTGTAGTGTACAGTAGTGTAGTGTATAGTGTTGTGTGTAGTGCATAGTAGTGTGTAGTGTATAGTAGTGTAGTGTATAATAGTGTAGTGTAATGTATAGTGTAGTGTATAGTAGTGTAGTGTATAGTGTAGTGCATCGTAGTGTGTAGTAGTGTATAGTAGTGTGTAGTAGTGTAGTAGTGTATAGTGTAGTGTATAGTGTAGTAGTGTAGTGTATACAGTGAGGGAAAAAAGTATATGATCCCCTGCTGATTTTGTACGTTTGCCCACTGACAAAGAGATGATCAGTCTATACTTTTAATGGTAGGTATATTTGAACAGTGAGAGAGAATAACAAGAAAATCCAGAAAAACGCATGTCAAAAATGTTATAAATTAATTTGCATTTTAATGAGGGAAATAAGTATTTGACCCCCTCTCAATCAGAAAGATTTCTGGCTCCCAGGTGTATTTTATACAGGTAACGAGCTGAGATTAGGAGCACACTCTTAAAGGGAGTGCTCCTAATCTCAGCTTGTTACCTGTATAAAAGACACCTGTCCACAGAAGCAATGAATCAATCAGATTCCAAACTCTCCACCATGGCCAAGACCAAAGAGCTCTCCAAGGATGTCAGGGACAAGATTGTAGACCTACACAAGGCTAAAATGAGCTACAAGACCATTTCCAAGCAGCTTGGTGAGAAGGTGACAACAGTTGGCACGAATATTCGCAAATGGAAGAAACACAAAAAAATTGTCAATCTCCCTTGGCCTGGGGCTCCATGCAAGATCTCACCTCGTGGATTTGCAATGATCATGAGAACGGTGAGGAATCAGCCCAGAACTTCACGGGAAAATCTTGTCAATGATCTCAAGGCCGCTGTGACCATAGTCACCAAGAAAACAATTGGTAACACACTACGCCGTGTAGGAATGAAATCATGCAGCGCCCGCAAGGTCCCCCTGCTCAAGAAAGCACATATACATGCCCGTCTGAAGTTTGACAATGAACATCTGAATGATTCAGAGGACAACTGGGTGAAAGTGTTGTGGTCAGATGAGACCAAAATCGAGCTCTTTGGCATCAACTCAACTCGCCGTGTTTGGAGGAGGAGGAATGCTGCCTATGACCCCAAGAACACCATCCCCACCGTCAAACATGGAGGTGGAAACATTATGCTTTGGGGGTGTTTTTCTGCTAAGGGGACAGGACAACTTCACCGCATCAAAGGGACGATGGACGGGGCCATGTACCGTCAAATCTTGGGTGAGAACATCCTTCCCTAGCCAGGGCATTGAAAATGGGTCGTGGATGGGTATTCCAGCATGACAATGACCCAAAACACACGGCCAAGGCAACAAAGGAGTGGCTCAATAAGAAGCACATTAAGGTCCTGGAGTGGCCTAGCCAGTCTCCAGACCTTAATCCCATATAAAATCTGTGGAGGGAGCTGAAGGTTCGAGTTGCCAAACGTCAGCCTCGAAACCTTAATTACTTGGAGAAGATCTGCAAAGAGGAGTGGGACAAAATCCCTCCTGAGATGTGTGCAAACCTGGTGGCCAACTACAAGAAACGTCTGACCTCTCTGATTGCCAACAAGGGTTTTGCCACCAAGTACTAAGTCATGTTTTGCAGAGGGGTCAAATACTTATTTCCCTCATTAAAATGCAAATGAAGTTATAACATTTTTGACATGCGTTTTTCTGGATTTTGTTTTGTTGTTATTCTGTCTCTCACTGTTCAAATACACCTACAATTAAAATTATATACTGATCATTTCTTTGTCAGTGGGCAAACGTACAAAATCAGCAGGGGATCAAATAATTTGTTCCATCACTGTAGTGTATAGTAGTGTAGTTTATTGTAGTCTAGTGTATAGTAGTGTAGTGTGTAGTAGTGTAGTGTGTAGCAGTGTAGTGTATCGTAGTGTAGTGTACAGTGTAGTGTATAGTAGTGTATAGTGTAGTGTATATTAGTGTAGTGTATAGTGTAGTTTATAGTAGTGTAGTGTGTATAGTGTAGTGTGTAGTAGTGTAGTGTGTAGTAGTGTGTAGTAGTGTAGTGTGTAGTTTATAGTAGTGTATAATAGTGTATAGTAGTGTAGTGTGTAGTGTAGTGTGTAGTAGTGTAGTGTATAGTAGTGTTAGGTATAGTGTATAGTAGTGTATAGTAGTGTAGTGTATAGTGTAGTGTATAGTGTAGTTACGTAGAAGGGAAATAATAAAATAATACAAATAAAACATAAAATAAAATTCTCACGACGTTTCGGCCACAACACAAGCAGCCGTCTTCAGGTGAAGGAACAGAACTGTCGGGAAGACAGTGCTCCAATGAACACTGCTAAGCTTGGCATCGTCTTTTAAGCTGGGTGGGAGGAGCAGAGCGCCTTGACAAAGGAGTTTACATATCAACAGAAGAATTTAGCTTTGAAGTAGCTGTGTTAAAGCGTTGGATTAGCAGGGTGTTAAAGTCAGAAATTAGCATGTAATTGGGAAATTAGCATGATGTTATTGTGAGGGATTAGCATGTAACTGGTCATGGAAGTAGCTATGTTAAAGTCAGAATTTACATATCAACAGAGGCATTTCGTATATTGCCGCTAAAGAACTGCAACTACCCAACTATCATACAATAAGCCGATGTGAAAGAACTAAGTATACACTACATCAATATAATAAATGTACTCAATATATTCATCAATAAGTTGAGCTATTATCATAAAGTAACTGGGTATACACTACACTATATTAATACCATATAGTAAACTGATGAAAAAACTAAAATATAAACTACATGAATGTTAAAATTTTGATTTAAAGCTTTCGTGACTGCAGTAAGTCATATTCTTAGTTTTTTTCGGAAAAGTCACGTTGAAGAGAAACAACAAAATAATAAAATATATATAAAACAATAAAAAAATTCTCACGACGTTTCGACCATAACTCAAACGGTCATCTTCAGGTGTGTTGGTTTGCATAAATTTATTTTTAAACGGCGCATTTATTTATTTATAAAAAACGTTTGCGTCACGCGCAGAGATTTGGCAGTTTGCCCAGGACTAGTCCATCTATATTTTGAAAAGAGGAGGGGGGAGACGAAATTTTTTATAATGTATGCTGTCTGAAAGCCACTGTAAGCGTGAACAATCAATTAAGAACTGAATTGGTTTATCAAATCTTTCCAATGATTGCTAAGATAGAATCCATCTTCTCGGTTGAAATTGTCTCTGTGCTTGTATATGTGGATAGCCTCATGAACGAATCTCTCATGGAAGCCAGATGGCTTACAAAGAACCTCTGTCTTGGAAAAGTCAATGGCATGTGAGCCTACTGAATTAAAACAATGATCTGCTACGGCTGAGGTGTTGGTCCTACCGTGTTTAAGGTCTGCTTTGTGTTCACGAATGCGGTCCGAGACATGGCGTTTGGTTTCTCCAATGTAACTACTACCACAGAGGCAACTTAGTTTGTAGACACCAGGGTAATGTATGTCCGGAATCACATCTTTTACAGACGGAACCAGATCACGGATTTTATGTAATGTGTTGAAACGGACCTGGATCTTGTGTTTATTCAAGATTTTGGAGATCTTTTTTGTGATCCCAGCAATGTAGGGTAAAGTGATGGTTTTGAAAGGCTCCTCAAGAGGGTTCTTCTTCATGGTTTGAGTGATAGCTTTGCGGATTGTATAGTCGGAGTAACCATTAGCCCTAAGAGCTTGGTGTACGTGCTTGAGTTCACTGCTTATGTGTTCCTGGTCGGATATGCATTGGGCTCTATGGTGCAGAGTCTTGATGAGAGAATTCTTCTGTGATGGATGGTGGTGGGAATCCGGTTTCAAGTAAGCATCTGTATGGGTAGCTTTCCTGTAGACAGAGTGGCTCATTGAACCATCAGGTCTCCTTTTAATTAGGACATCCAAAAAAGGTAGCTTGCCATCTATTTCGACTTCCATGGTAAATCTGATGGCTGGGTGTATGGAATTGATGTGGTCGAGGAATTGGTCTAGAGCAGGCCGGCCATGTGGCAAGATGACGAAAGTGTCATCCATGTACCTCTTCCATAAGGTTGGGCGCAGAGTTGCAGTCTGGATGGCGTCAGTCTCAAATTTCTCCATGAAAATGTTGGTCGCTTCTGCCCGCTCCATCCCCTCCACCACCCCGAACGTCCTCCAAAGCACCTCGCTCCCTCCGCCCAGCTCATCTCGACATTCTGCGAGAGTTGTGCCAAGCGCCTTGGCAAAAAGACGATAACTTTTTACCATATTCTTAGCTCTTTCGGTAAAGTCACGTTGAAGGGAAACAATAAAAATACCTGATGACGACCGTTTGTGTTATGGTCGAAACGTCGTGAGAATTTTTATTGTTTTATATATATATTATTATTTTATTGTTTTCCCTTCAACGTGACTTTACCGAAAGAGCTAAGAATATGAATCACTGCAGTCACGAAAGCTTTAAATAAAAATTTAACTTTTTACCAATATAAATTCCATGAGACGTCCAATAATTCCGGTTATTTTATTTTCCGAACGTCCAGTGGACGTGTCGGTAAATTTGTGAGTTCCGCAGCCCCGGTGACGTCATTGACGCAAACCTCGCCCCCGGTGACGTCACTAGCCACCGCGTCTGAGGCGACGTCACTACCACACCTCCGTTACGTCACCAACACGCCTCTTCGTTGTCACCTGTCCCCATGACGTCATTCTTATAAACTTCCAGAAGCTATCTTCCGGTGGCGGAATAAGCCTTCTGATATCGGTAGCGAATTAGCGAACAGGCCGGTAGACGTCTTTCGATGGCAGTAAGCAACTTCCAATTTCGGTAGATGGATGACGAACAGGCCGGTAGACATCTTCCGGTGGCGGTAGAAGGGGTCTCGGACTGTCCGTTCCACAAGCTTCCGATTCCGGTAGTGGCTTTATGAACGGCCGGTAGATATCTTCGAATTCTGGTTGTAGCTTTATGAACGGCCGGTAGATTTCTTCCGATTCCGGTAGGATTTGGCACTAACGTCCAGAGGACGTCTCTCCTGTTGCGGTGGAAGGTTTACGAACGTCCATTGGACGTTCGTGGGGAGAGGAGGGTGGGAGTTGGGGAGTGGTGGTGGCATTTAAAGGGGCCGTGCAGAGGTCGTGTCGACTAGAGGTCGCGTCAGGAGTGAGTGAGCGAGCTGGTGAGCGGGCTGGTGAGCGGGCTGGTGGGTGAGTGGGTGAGTTGGGTGAGCTGGTGAGCGAGCTGGTGAGTGAGTGGGTGAGCTGGTGAGTGAGTGGGTGAGCTGGTGAGTGGGTGAGTGAGTGACCTGGTGAGTGGGTGGGTGAGCTGGTGAGTGAGTGACCTGGTGAGTGAGTGGGTGGGTGAGCTGGTGAGTGAGTGACCTGGTGAGTGAGTGGGTGAGTGAGCTGGTGAGTGAGCTGGTGAGTGAGTGGGTGAGCTGGTGAGCCGAGATGGCGGCAGCAGCAGGCGCCTGGGTGCGATTCCTTGACGGTGTGGGCCGGGTGCTGCCTCGCAAGCTGCAGCCGGTGTGGAACCATGAGGCGGGTGAGTGTCTGGGGGAGACAGAGACACAGGGAGACAGAGACACAGGGAGACACAGAGAGACACAGGGAGACACAGAGAGACAGAGAGAGACAGAGACACAGGGAGACACAGGGAGACACAGAGAGAGACACAGAGAGAGACAGAGACACAGGGAGACACAGGGAGACACAGACAGAGACACAGGGAGACACAGAGAGAGACACAGGGAGACACAGAGAGACAGAGACACAGGGAGACAGAGACACAGGGAGACACAGGGAGACAGAGACACAGGGAGACACAGGGAGAGACACAGGGAGAGACAGAGAGAGACACAGAGAGAGACAGAGACACAGGGAGACACAGGGAGACACAGACAGAGACACAGGGAGACACAGAGAGAGACACAGGGAGACACAGAGAGACAGAGACACAGGGAGACAGAGACACAGGGAGACACAGGGAGACAGAGACACAGGGAGACACAGGGAGAGACACAGGGAGAGACAGAGAGAGACACAGGGAGACACAGGGAGACACAGAGAGACAGAGAGAGACACAGGGAGAGACAGAGACACAGGGAGACACAGAGAGAGACAGGGAGACAGACACAGGGAGACAGGAGAGACACAGGAAGACAGAGACACAGGGAGACACAGGGAGACACAGGGAGAGACAGAGAGAGACACAGGGAGAGACAGAGACACAGGGAGAGACAGAGAGAGACACAGGGAGAGACAGAGAGAGACACAGGGAAAGACAGAGAGAGACAGGGAGACAGGAGAGACACAGAGACACACAGAGACACAGAGACACAGAGAGACACAGGGAGACACAGGGAGACACAGAGAGACACAGAGAGACAGGGAGACAGGAGAGTCACAGGGAGACACAGGGAGAGACACAGGGAGAGACAGAGAGAGACACAGGGAGACACAGGGAGACAGGAGAGACACAGAGACACAGGGAGACACAGGGAGACACAGGGAGACACAGAGAGACAGGGAGACAGGAGAGTCACAGAGACACAGGGAGACACACAGGGAGAGACACAGGGAGAGACACAGGGAGAGACACAGGGAGAGACAGAGAGAGACACAGGGAGACACAGGGAGACAGAGACACAGGGAGACACAGGGAGACACAGAGAGACACAGGAGAGACACAGGAGAGACACAGAGAGAGACAGAGACACAGGGAGAGATACAGAGAGACATAGAGACAGGAGAGACACAGGGAGACACAGAGAGACACAGGGAGACACAGGGAGACACACAGAGACACAGAGACACAGAGAGACACAGGGAGACAGGAGAGACACAGAGAGACACAGGGAGACACAGAGAGAGACACAGACAGAGAGAGACACAGGAGGCACAGGGAGACAGAGACACAGGGAGACACAGGGAGACACAGAGAGATAGAGACACAGGGAGACACAGAGGGACAGGAGAGACACAGGGAGACACAGGGAGACACATAGAGACAGAGAGACACAGAGACACAGAGACACAGGGAGACACAGAGACACAGGAGAGACACGGGAGAGACACAGACAGAGAGAGACACAGGAGACACAGGGAGACAGAGACACAGGGAGACACAGGGAGACACAGAGAGACAGAGACACAGGGAGACACAGGGAGACAGGAGAGACACAGGGAGACACAGGGAGACACATAGAGACAGGGAGACAGGAGAGACACAGAGACACAGGGAGACACAGAGACACAGGAGAGACACGGGAGAGACACAGAGACAGGAGAGACACAGGGAGACAGAGAGACAGAGAGACACAGGAAGACAGACACAGAGAGACACAGGAGAGACACAGGGAGACACAGGGAGACACAGAGACACGGAGAGACACAGGGAGACAGGAGAGACACAGGGAGACACAGGGAGACGTAGAGACACAGAGAGACACAGGGAGACACAGAGAGACACAGGAGAGACACAGGGAGACACAGGAGAGACACAGCAGAGACACAGAGAGACACAGGGAGACACAGGGAGACACAGAGAGACACAGGGAGACAGGAGAGACACAGGGAGACACAGGGAGACGTAGAGACACAGAGAGACACAGAGAGACACAGGAGAGACACAGGGAGACACAGGGGAGACACAAGGAGACCCAGGGAGACACAGAGAGACACAGGGAGACAGGAGAGACACAGAGAGACACAGGGAGACGTAGAGACACAGAGAGACACAGAGAGACACAGGAGAGACACAGAGAGACACAGGGAGACAGGAGAGACACAGAGAGACACAGAGAGACACAGGGAGACAGGAGAGACACAGAGAGACACAGAGAGACACAGGGAGACACAGGAGAGACACAGGGAGACACAGGAGAGACACAGAGAGACACAGGGAGACACAGGGAGACAGGAGAGACACAGAGAGACACAGAGAGACACAGGGAGACAGGAGAGACACAGAGAGACACAGAGAGACACAGAGAGACACAGGGAGACACAGAGAGACACAGGGAGACAGGAGAGACACAGAGAGACACAGAGAGACACAGGGAGACACAGGGAGACAGGAGAGACACAGAGAGACACAGAGAGACACAGGGAGACAGGAGAGACACAGAGAGACACAGAGAGACACAGAGAGACACAGGGAGACAGGAGAGACACAGAGAGACACAGAGAGACACAGAGAGACACAGGGAGACACAGAGAGACACAGGGAGACAGGAGAGACACAGAGAGACACAGAGAGACACAGGGAGACACAGGGAGACAGGAGAGACACAGAGAGACACAGAGAGACACAGGGAGACAGGAGAGACACAGAGAGACACAGAGAGACACAGAGAGACACAGGGAGACAGGAGAGACACAGAGAGACACAGAGACAGGAGAGACACAGGGAGACACAGAGAGACACAGGGAGACAGGAGAGACACAGAGAGACACAGAGACAGGAGAGACACAGGGAGACAGAGGCGGCCCAGGCGTGGGGTCGGTGGTGGTGGTGGGGCAGAGAGAGAGACACAGGAAGACAGAGACACACACAAGGTGTGTACACACACAAGGTGTGTCCACACACACACAAGGTGTGTACACACACACACACAAGGTGTGTCCACACACACACAAGGTGTACACACACACACACACACGGTGTGTACATACACAAGGTGTGTCCACACACACACAAGGTGTGTACACACACACACACAAGGTGTGTACACACACACAAGGTGTGTACACATACACACACAAGGTGTACACACACACACAAGGTGTGTACACACACACAAGGTGTGTACACATACACACACAAGGTGTACACACACACAAGGTGTGTACACAACATCTCAACTGAACCCTGGGACACCTTCCCCGAGGCCGACTGGGTCTGGGTCTGAGTACCGGAGGCGGCGCGGCACCACAGGAGCTGCTGCTCACCACTCGGAGCACTTGCCCCTACAGACTGCTAAAGGCTACACGGGGGACCTTTGTCTTTTGTCTTCTGCAGGCCCAAGGACCGTGTTCTTCTGGGCTCCCACCATGAAATGGGTGAGGGAACACAACTCAACAACTCTTTAACTCTTTAACTCAACAACTCATCAACTATATATATTCTTAGTTTTTTCGGTAAAGTCACGTTGAAGAGAAACAACAAAATAATAAAATATATATATAAAACAATAAAAAAATTCTCACGACATTTCGACCATAACTCAAACGGTCATCTTCAGGTGTGTTGGTTTGCATAAATTTATTTGTTAACGGCGCATTTATTTATTTATATATATAAAAAAAGACGTTAGCGTCACGCGCAGCGATTTGGCAGTTTACCCAGGACTAGTCCATCTATATTTTGAAAAGAGGAGGGGGGAGACGAAATTTTATAATGTATGCTGTCTGAAAGCCAATGTAAGCGTGAACAATCAATTAAGAACTGAAATGGTTTATCAAATCTTTCCAATGATTGCTAAGATAGAATCCATCTTCTCGGTTGAAATTGTCTCTGTGCTTGTATATGTGGATAGCCTCATGAACGAATCTCTCATGGAAGCCAGATGGCTTACAAAGAACCTCTGTCTTGGAAAAGTCAATGGCATGTGAGCCTACTGAATTAGAACAATGATCTGCCACGGCCGAGGTGTTGGTCCTACCGTGTTTAAGGTCTGCTTTGTGTTCACGAATGCGGTCCGAGACATGGCGTTTGGTTTCTCCAATGTAACTACTACCACAGAGGCAACTTAGTTTGTAGACACCAGGGTATTGTATGTCCGGAATCACATCTTTTACAGACGGAACCAGATCACGGATTTTATGTAATGTGTTGAAACGGACCTGGATCTTGTGTTTATTCAAGATTTTGGAGATCTTTTTTGTGATCCCCGCCTTTCAAAACCATCACTTTACCCTACATTGCGGGGATCACAAAAAAGATCTCCAAAATCTTGAATAAACACAAGATTCAGGTCCGTTTCAACACATTACATAAAATCCGTGATCTGGTTCCGTCTGTAAAAGATGTGATTCCGGACATACAATACCCTGGTGTCTACAAACTAAGTTGCCTCTGTGGTAGTAGTTACATTGGAGAAACCAAACGCCATGTCTCGGACCGCATTCGTGAACACAAAGCAGACCTTAAACACGGTAGGACCAACACCTCGGCTGTGGCAGATCATTGTTCTAATTCAGTAGGCTCACATGCCATTGACTTTTCCAAGACAGAGGTTCTTTGTAAGCCATCTGGCTTCCATGAGAGATTCGTTCATGAGGCTATCCACATATACAAGCACAGAGTCAATTTCAACCGAGAAGATGGATTCTATCTTAGCAATCATTGGAAAGATTTGATAAACCATTTCAGGTCTTAATTGATTGTTCACGCTTACAGTGGCTTTCAGACAGCATACATTATAAAAAAATTCGTCTCCCCCCTCCTCTTTTCAGAATATAGATGGACTAGTCCTAAATAAACTGGCAAATCGTTGCGCGTGGCGCTAATGTTTTTTTATAAATAAATAAATGCGCCGTTTAAAAATAAATTTATGCAAACGAACACACCTAAAGATGACCGTTTGAGTTATGGTCGAAACGTCGTGAGATTTTTTTTATTGTTTTATATATTTTTTATTATTTTGTTGTTTCCCTTCAACGTGACTTTACCGAAAAAACTAAGAATATGAACTCAGCAATTCTTTAACTCAACAACTCTTTAACTCAACAACTCTTTAACTCAACAACTTTTTAACTCTTTAACTCAACAACTCTTTAACTCAACAACTCTTTAACTCAACAACTCTTTAACTCAACAACTCAGCAACTCTTTAACTCAACAACTCTTTATCTCTTTAACTCAATAACTCTTTAACTCTTTAACTCAACAACTCTTTAACTCAACAACTCTTTAACTCAACAACTTTTTAACTCTTTAACTCAACAACTATTTAACTCAACAACTCTTTAACTCAACAACTCTTTAGCTCAACAACTCTTTAACTCAACAACTCTTTAACTCTTTAACTCAACAACTCTTTAACTCAACAACTCTTTAACTCAACAACTCTTTAACTCTTTAACTCAACTCTTTAACTCAACAACTCTTTAACTCTTTAACTCAACAACTCTTTAACTCAACAACTTTTAACTCTTTAACTCAACAAATCTTTAACTCAACAACTCTTTAACTCTGTAACTCTTTAACTCATCAAGTCTTTAACTCAACAACTCTTTAACTCAACAACCCTTTAACTCTTTAACTCAACAACCCTTTAACTCTTTAACTCAACAACTCTTTAACTCTTAAACTCAACAACTCTTTAACTCAACAACTATTTAACTCAACAACTCTTTAACTTTTTAACTCAACAACTCCTTAACTCTTTAACTCAACAACTCTTTAACTCTTTAACTCTAACTCAACAACTCTTTAACTCTTTAACTCAACAACTCTTTAACTCAACAACTCTTTAACGCAACAACTTTTTAACTCTTTAACTCAACAACTCTTTAACTCAACAACTCTTTAACTCAACAACTCTTTAACTCAACAACTCTTTAACTCAACAACTCTTTAACTTTTTAACTCAACAACTCCTTAACTCTTTAACTCAACAACTCTTTAACTCTAACTCAACAACTCTTTAACTCTTTAACTCAACAACTATTTAACTCAACAACGTCTTTAACTCAACAACTCTTTAACTCAACAACTCATTAACTCAACAACTCTTTAATTCTTTAACTCATCAACTCTTTAACTCAACAACTCTTAACTCAACAACTCTTTAACTCTTTAATTCAACAACTCTTGAACTCAACAACGCTTTAACTCTTTAACTCAACAACTCTTTAACTCAACTACTCTTTAACTCAACAACTCTTTAATTCTTTAACTCAACAACACTTTAACTCTTTAAATCAACAACTGTTTAACTCAACAACTCTTTAACTCAACAACACTTTAACTGAACAACTCTTTAACTCTTTAACTCAACAGCTCTTTAACTCAACAACTCTTTAACTCAACAACTATTTAACTCAACAAATCTTTAACTCTTTAACTCAACAACTCTTTAACTCTACAACTCTTTAACTCATCCTCTCAACAACTCTTTAACTCAACTACTCTTTAACTCAACAACTCTTTAACTCAACTACTCTTTAACTCTTTAACTCAACAACACTTTAACTCACAACCTCTTTAACTCAACAACTCTTTAACTTTTTAACTCAACAACTTTTAATCTTTAACTCAACAACTCTTTAACTCAACAACTCTTTAACTCAACTCTTTAACTCTTTAACTCAACAACTCTTTAACTCAACAACTCTTTAACTCAACAACTCTTTAACTCAGCAACTATTTAACTCTTTAACTCAACAACTCTTTAACTCAACAACTCTTTAACTCAACAACTCTTTAACTCTTTAACTCAACAACTCTTTAACTCTTTAACTCATCAACTCTTTAACTCTTTAACTCAACAACTTTTTAACTCTTTAACTCAACAACTCTTTAACTCAACAACTCTTTAACTCTTTAACTCAACAACTCTCTGAGTATGGCTCTCTGAGTATGGGCATCTGTGTATCGCTATGGGTCTCTTATGAGTATGGGTTTCTATCCATTTCTATCGGTCTCTAAGCATGAGTCTAAGTCTATCTCTCAGGGTCTGTATGGGTCTCTGTGGGTCTGTATGGGTCTCTGTTTGATCTGTATGGGTCTCTGTGGGTCTGTATGGGTCTCTGTGGGTCTGTATGGGTCTATGTGGGTCTGTATGGGTCTCTGTGGGTCTGTATGGGTCTATGTGGGTCTGTACGGGGCTCTGTGGGTCTCTCTGTGTCTGTATGTGTCTCTCTTTGGTCTGAATGGGTCTCTGTGGGTCTGTATGGGTCTCTGTGCGTCTGTATGGGTCTCTGTTTGGTCTGTATGCGTCTCTGTGGGTCTGTATGGGTCTCTGTGGGTCTGTTTGGGTCTCTGTTTGGTCTGTATGGGTCTCTGTTTGGTCTGTATGGGTCTCTGTGGGTTTGTATGGGTCTCTGTTTGGTCTGTATGGGTCTCTGTGGGTTTGTATGGGTCTTTGTTTGGTCTGTATGGGTCTCTCTAGGTCTGTATGGGTCTCTGTTTGGTCTGTATGGGTCTCTGTGGGTCTCTGTTTGGTCTGTATGGGTCTCTCTGGGTGTGTATGGGTCTCTCTGGGTCTGTATGAGTCTCTCTGGGTCTGTATGGGTCTATGTGGGTCTGTTTGGGTCTCTGTTTGGTCTGTATGGGTCTCTGTTTGGTCTGTATGGCTCTCTGGGTGTGTATGGGTCTCTGTGGGTCTGTATGGGTCTCTCTGGGTCTGTGTGGGTCTTTCTTTGGTCTGTATGGCTCTCTGGGTCTGCATGAGTCTCTGTGGGTCTGTATGAGTCTCTGTGGGTCTGCATGGGTCTCTGTGGGTCTGTGTGGGTCTCTGTTTGGTCTGTAATGGGCATCTGTGGGTCTCTGTTTGGTCTGTATGAGTCTCTGTGGGTGTGTATGGGTCTCTGTGGGTCTGTATGGGTTTCTATGGGTCTGTGTGGGGCTCTGTTTGGTCTGTAATGGGCATCTGTGGGTCTCTGTTTGGTCTGTATGGGTCTCTGTGAGTGTGTATGGGTATCTGTGGGTCTGTATGGGTCTCTGTGAGTCTCTGTTTGGTCTGTATGGGTCTCTGTTTGGTCTGTATCGGTCTCTGTGGGTCTCTTTGGTCTGTATGGGTCTCTGTTTGGTCTGTATGGGTCTCTGTTTGGTCTGTATGGGTCTGTTTGGGTCTCTGTTTGGTCTGTACGGGTCTCTGTTGGTCTGTACGGGTCTCTGTGGGTCTCTGTGGGTCTGTATGGGTCTCTGTGGGTCTGTGTGGGTCTCTGTTTGTTCTGTATGGGTCTGTATGGGTCTCTCTGGCTCTGTATGGGTCTCTGTGGGTCTGTATGGGTCTCTGTTTGGTCTGTATGGGTCTCTGTGGGTCTCTGTTTGGTCTGTATGGGTCTCTGTTTGGTCTGTATGGGTCTCTGTGGGTCTGAATAGGTCTCTGTGGGTTTGTATGGGTCTCTCTGGGTCTGTGTGGGTCTCTGTTTGGTCTGTATGGGTCTCTGTGGGTCTGTATGGGTCTCTGTTTGGTCTGTATGGGTCTCTGTGGGTCTGTATGGGTCTCTGTGGGTCTGTATGGGTCTCTGTGGGTCTCTCTGGGTCTGTATGGATCTCTGTGGGTCTGTATGGGTCTCTGTGGGTCTCTCTGGGTCTGTATGGATCTCTGTGGGTCTGTATGGGTCTCTGGTCTGTATAGGTCTCTGTGGGTCTCTCTAGGTCTGTATGGGTCTCTGTGGGTCTGTATGGGTCTCTGTGGGTCTGTATGGGTCTCTGTGGGTCTGTATGGGTCTCTCTGCGTCTGTATAGGTCTCTGTGGGTCTGTATGTGTCTCTGTGGGTCTGTATGGGTCTCTGTGGGTCTGTATTGGTCTCTGTGGGTCTGTATGGGTCTCTCTGGGTCTGTATGGGTCTCTGTGGGTCTGTATGGGTCTCTGTGGGTCTCTCTGGATCTGTATGGGTCTCTGTGGGTCTGTATGGGTCTCTGTGGGTCTGTATGGGTCTCTGTTTGGTCTGTATGCGTCTCTGTGGGTCTGTATGGGTCTCTGTGGGTCTGTTTGGGTCTCTGTTTGGTCTGTATGGGTCTCTGTTTGGTCTGTATGGGTCTCTGTGGGTTTGTATGGGTCTCTGTTTGGTCTGTATGGTCTCTGTGGGTCTGTATGGGTCTCTGTGGGTCTCTGTTTGGTCTGTATGGGTCTCTGTTAGGTCTGTATGGGTCTCTGTGGGTCTGAATGGGTCTCTGTGGGTTTGTATGGGTCTCTCTGGGTCTGTGTGGGTCTCTGTTTGGTCTGTATGGCTCTCTGGGTCTGTATGGGTCTCTGTGGGTCTGTATGGGTCTCTGTGGGTCTGTATGGGTCTCTGTGGGTCCGTGTGGGTCTCTGTTTGGTCTGTATGGGTCTGTGTTTGGTCTGTATGGGTCTCTGTGGGTCTCTGTTTGGTCTGTATGGGTCTCTGTGGGTCTGTATGGGTCTCTGTGGGTCTGTATGGGTCTCTGTGAGTCTGTTTGGGTCTCTGTGGGTCTCTGTTTGGTCTGTATGCGTCTCTGTTTGGTCTGTTTAGGTCTCTGTGGGTCTCTTTGGTGTGTATGGGTCTCTGTTTGGTCTGTATGGGTCTCTCTGGGTCTGTATGGGTCTCTGTTTGGTCTGTACGGGTCTCTGTGGGTCTGTACAGGTCTCTATGGGTCTCTGTGGGCCTGTGTGGGTCTCTGTTTGGTCTGTATGGGTCTCTGTGGGTCTGTATGGGTCTCTCTGGCTCTATGGGTCTCTGTGGGTCTGTATGGGTCTCTGTTTGGTCTGTATGGGTCTCTGTGCGTCTCTGTTTGGTCTGTATGGGTAATCTGTGGGTCTGTATGGGTCTCTGTGGGTCTCTGTTTGGTCTGTATGGGTCTCTGTGGGTCAGTTTGGGTTTCTAGGAGTATGGGTGTCTATGCATATTCATGAGTAATTTGGCTTCTACTCTACATTCCCAGACACGAGAGTGATGATGATGAGGATGAGCTACTCGGTTGAGAAATCCTTGGCGGTATTCAGAGTCGCTTCTCAAAAGAGCCGCACAGCAGCTCGGCTGAGGCCTTCCTGCGCCCAGTCAAATAAAACGCAGCGCTGCGCTACGAACCCTGGCAGAGACCCGAGTTCCATTCCCGCTCAACACTGAGCCCAATATGTCACCGGAACCTGGTGCTCGGACACTTCCCCCCGAGGCTGACTGGGCTTGATATGAGTACCGGAGCCTGCCACGCTTCCCCTTAATGCCCTCTACGTTCTCAATCTTTGCCGTCGCTCTCTCCTCCTCATGCTCAATCCACGCCTTCGCTCGCTCTCTCCCTCTCGTTCTCTCTCTCGCTCTCTCGCTCGCTCTCTCTCTTCTCTCGCTCTCTCTCACTCTCTCTCACTCACTCTCTCCCTCTCGTTCTCTCGCTCGCTCTCTCGCTCTCTCTCGCTCTCTCTCGCTTTCTCTTCTCTCGCTCTCTCACTTTCTCTTCTCTCGCTGTCTCGCTCTCTCTCGCTCTCTCTCTCGCTCGCTCTCTCGCTCTCTCTCTCTCACTCGCTCTCTCTCTCACTCTCTCTATCGCTCTCTCTCTCTCACTCGCTCTCTCTCTCGCTCTCTCTATCGCTCTCTCTCTTCTCTCGCTCTCTCTCTCGCTCTCTCTCTCGCTCTCTCTCACTTTCTCTTCTCTCGCTCTCTCGCTGTCTCGCTCTCTCTCGCTCTCTCTCGCTCTCTCTCTCGCTCGCTCTCTCGCTCTCTCTCTCTTCTCTCGCTCTCTCTCGCTCTCTCTCTCTCACTCGCTCTCTCTCTCGCTCTCTCTATCGCTCTCTCTCTTCTCTCGCTCTCTCTCTCTTCTCTCGCTCTCTCTCGCTCTCTCTCTCTCACTCGCTCTCTCTCTCGCTCTCTCTATCGCTCTCTCGCTTCTCTCGCTCTCTCTCTCTTCTCTCGCTCTCTCTCGCTCTCTCTCTCTCACTCGCTCTCTCTCTCGCTCTCTCTATCGCTCTCTCTCTTCTCTCGCTCTCTCTCTCGCTCTCTCTCTCGCTCTCGCTCTCTCTCGCTCTCTCTCTCGCTCTCTCTCACTTTCTCTTCTCTCGCTCTCTCGCTGTCTCGCTCTCTCTCCAACCGATACAGTCTCAGAAATGTTGAGGAACAAATTCTAATTCATATTCCCTCTCTTACGTGCGCGCCGATTTTGAAACGGTAAATTTGGCGCCCCCCCCCCCACTTACCTGGGTCGCACGCCCGAGGGCGACCGCCCGGTCCGTCGCTATGGGCGGGGGGGGGGGGGGGGGGCGCCCCCTACTCGTCCCACGCTGCTTCGCTGGAACAAACTTGAAGCAGTCCTTTTTTTATTTAAAGCTTTCGTGACTGCAGGGATTCATATTCTTGGTTCTTTCGGTAAAGTCACCACGTAGAAGGGAAACAAAAAAATAATAATAAAAATATAAAACAATTAAATTCTCACGACGTTTCTACTGCAACACAAGCAATCATCATCAGGTGTGAAAACCACAGCAAGAAAATTTGAAAAAAGTGGCGGGTTTATTTTTAACGTTAGCACCACGGAGAGCGATTTGACAGTTTTGTTCAGATGGACGAGTCCATCTATGTTCGGAAAAGAGGAGGGGGGAGACGAAAATAATGGATGCGGTCTGAAAGCCACCGTAAGCGTGAACAATCAATTAAGACCTGAAATGGTTTATCAAATCCTTCCAATGATAGCCAAGCCAGAATCCATCTTCTCGGTTGAAATTGTCTCTGTGTTTGTATGTGTGGATAGCGTCAGTCATCTTCGCATCACCAAGTTCCCGCTCCTCACTCGACTCTCTCTTCTCGTTGCCTCGAGCTCACCACGACCCCACCGTCATCTCCCCCTCATAACCACCGCCACAGTTACTGCTCCCTATTCATATTCCTACCACGTGGCTATCACTCATTCACGCCATTCATGCAATCCATTCATCATCATTGACTCTCAGAATAATACATAATACAGGTTTTGTTGGGGTGGATCGCGTAAATATCAATGCGCCGTTAAACTCCCCACCACCCGACACTGCCAATTGGTAAAGGTTTGTCACGTTAACAGAACGTGCCAATTCGCTACTAGTACAGCACTAAACGGAGAGCAAAACCACAACATTTACAATCTGAGTACGACGTCTCACCAGTAATTACAACCAGCTTCATGTTGTGGCTTTGCTCTCCCCGCACCTCCGATTAGCACGGTTGGCTACGTATGGTGCAAAAGAAGTTCAACATTCATACACGCAACATACTTGCCCCTGAAGCCTGCTAGGGGCTACACGGGGAGCTTTGCCTGGGTATCATGAGTGATATCGCATATCACTGTGTCGTGTTGTTTGGGCCACACACATACAGGGCAGATACTGTGCTGTGCTGTGTGTGTGGCCCAAGGTCAGAGAGGGGAAAACACATTCCAGCTTGAGTGTATGTGTGTCGTAGAGCGGTCGTGTAGCGGTTAGCGCGACGCTGCGCTACGAACATGGCGACCTGGGTTCGATTCCACGCTCACGGCCAACACCGGTGACGATTATCTGAACCGGTCCTGGGCCTCCCCTAGGTCGACTCAGCCTCAAATGAGTACCTGGTGTGGTGTGTAGTAAACATCGCCACTGAGGAGACAAAGTCGGCCGGGCGCGGTGCTGGTCACCCACCCCCTCGTGTGCCGTGCCGGCCTTCATCGGTGGTGCTCGCTAACAGCACTTTCCCCGACAGCCCTACGAGAGGCTACCCGGGGTGGAACCTTTGTCTTTGTGGGTGGGGAGTGGTGGCGCAGCGGTTGGCGCACTGTGCTGACAGCACTTGCCCCAAACGGCCCTGCTGAAGGCTACCTGTGTGGAACCTTTGTCTTTGTCTAGGGCCTGGTGATCGCGGGATTGGCTGATCTCTTGCGCCCCGCCGACAAGCTCAGCGCCGCCCAATCCGGAGTGCTCACGGCCACAGGTAGCTCGTGCACGCACACACACGCGGAGACACGCGGAGACACGCGGAGACACACGGAGACGCGGAGACACACACGGAGACACACGGAGACACTCACGCACAGACACACGGAGACACTCGCGCGCGGAGACGCACGGAGACACAGACACACACAGACACATGGAGACACACGGAGACACAGACACATGGAGACACACGGAGACACAGACACACGGAGACACACGGAGATGCGGAGACAAACACACAGACACGCACGGAGACACGCGGAGACACAGACGCACGGAGACGCACACACAGACACACGGAGACACTCACGCACAGACGCACGGAGACACACAGAGACGCGGAAACAGACACACAGACACACAGACACACGGAGACACGCGGAGACACAGACACACGGAGACACACGGAGACACTCACGCACAGACACACACACACACAGACACACACACAGACACACGGAGACACGCGGAGACGCGGAGACACAGACACACAGACGCACGGAGACGCACGGAGACACACAGCGATACACAGACACACAGACACACGGAGACGCAGAGGCACGCAGATATACAGAGACACTCAGAGACACGCAGATTCACAGAGACGCGGAGACCCATAGAGACTCGCAGAGACTTATGGGGATGCATAGAGACCCACGGAGATACTTAGAGACAAGCAGAGATACATAGATACACAGTGACGCAGGGACACGCAGAGACACACAGGTACATAGAGATGCATAGAGACACACAGAGATACATAGAGACCCTCCGATACATAGAGACACACAGAGATACATAGAGACACTCAGAGATACATAGAGATACATAGAGACATACAGAGCTACATAGAGACACACCGAGATACATAGAGATGCACAGAGACCTTCCGATACATAGAGACACACAGAGATACATAGAGACATACAGAGCTACATAGAGACACACCGAGATACATAGAGATGCATAGAGACACTCAGAGATACATAGAGATGGATTAAGACACTCAGAGATACATAGAGACACACAGAGATACATAGAGATACATAGAGACCCTCCGATACATAGAGACACTCACTCACATAGACTGTAGGACCCCACCCCTACTGACAGCTGACTGTAGCATGGACGGCTGCCACCGGGGGTACCCCCAGGGAGGGGCTACCCGTGGATGGGGGAGGTGGGGGTGGCTTTGGCTCCAGCAGTGACCTTGAGCCAGGGGGAGGCCGTGAATTCGCTCGTAAACACGTTGTGTGTTTTTCATCTTTTTTGGGCTGAGCGGATCCACATGGGCTCGTGCTGCTTCCACCGATTTTTACATCCACATCCACTTCGGGCACGTGCGGGGCACGGCGGGGGGTGGAGGGGGCGATTGCGATTGTGAAAGTCGCTCAACCTTGCCCCAGTCCACTCGCGTGAGCCGGTGGGTGTGGCGTGGCCATGTCCTTGAGAGGTCTGGACACAGTCACCCCACCGTTCGGTGAGCTCCTCCCCGGCAAGGCGAGGAGGTCTGGCTGCTGGGTCACCCAGCCATCACACACCCAGCCATCGCACACACAGCCATCACACACACAGACATCACACACACAGCCATCGCACACACAGCCATCACACACACAGCCATCACACACACAGCCATCACACACACAGCCATCACACACACAGCCATCACACACACAGACATCACACACACAGCCATCACACACACAACCATCACACACAACCATCACACACACACAGCCATCACACACACAACCATCACACACAACCATCACACACACAGCCATCACACACACAGCCATCACACACACAGCCATCACACACACAGCCATCACACACAACCATCACACACACAACCATCACACACACAGCCATCACACACACAGCCATCAAACACACAACCATCACACACACAGCCATCACACACACAGCCATCACACACCCAGCCATCACACACACAACCATCACACACACAGCCATCACACACAACCATCACACACACAACCATCGCACACAACCATCACACACACAGCCATCACACACACAGCCATCACACACACAGCCATCACACACACAGCCATCACACACACAGCCATCACACACACAGCCATCACACACACAGCCATCGCACACCCAGCCATCACACCCAGCCATCACACACACAACCATCACACACACAGCCATCACACACCCAGCCATCACACACACAACCATCACACACACAGCCATCACACACACAACCATCGCACACCCAGCCATCACACACACAACCATCACACACACAACCATCGCACACACAACCATCGCACACACAGCCATCGCACACACAGCCATCACACACACAGCCATCACACACACAGCCATCACACACCTAGCCATCACACACACAGCCATCACACACACAGCCATCACACACACAGCCATCACACACACAGCCATCACACACACAGCCATCACACACACAACCATCACACACACAGCCATCACACACACAGCCATCACACACACAGCCATCACACACACAGCCATCACACACACAGCCATCACACACACAGCCATCACACACACAACCATCACACACACAACCATCACACACACAGCCATCACACACACAGCCATCACACACACAGCCATCACACACACAGCCATCACACACACAGCCATCACACACACAACCATCACACACACAACCATCACACCCAGCCATCACACACACAGCCATCACACACACAACCATCACACACACAACCATCACACACACAACCATCACACACACAGCCATCACACACACAGCCATCACACACACAGCCATCACACACACAACCATCACACACACAACCATCACACACACAGCCATCACACACACAGCCATCACACACACAGCCATCACACAACAACCATCACACACACAGCCATCGCACACACAGCCATCGCACACACAACCATCGCACACACAGCCATCGCACACACAGCCATCGCACACCCAGCCATCGCACACACAGCCATCACACACACAACCATCACACACAGCCATCACACACACAGCCATCACACACAACCATCACACACACAGCCATCACACACACAGCCATCACACACACAGCCTTCACACACACAGCCATCACACACACAGCCATCACACACACAGCCATCACACACACAGCCATCACACACACAACCATCACACACAACCATCACACACACAGCCATCGCACACACAGCCATCACACACACGGCCATCACACACACAGCCATCACACACAACCATCACACACACAGCCATCACACACACAGCCATCACACACACAGCCATCACACACAGCCATCACACACAACCATCACACACACAGCCATCACACACACAGACATCACACACACAGCCATCACACACACAACCATCACACACACAGCCATCACACACACAACCATCACACACACAACCATCACACACACAACTATCGCACACACAGCCATCGCACACACAGCCATCACACACAGCCATCACACACACAGCCATCACACACACAGCCATCACACACCCAGCCATCACACACACAGCCATCACACACACAGCCATCACACACACAGACATCACACACACAGCCATCACACACACAGCCATCACACACACAGCCATCACACACACAGCCATCACACACACAGCCATCACACACACAGCCATCACACACACAGCCATCACACACCCAGCCATCACACACAGCCATCACACACACAACCATCACACACACAGCCATCACACACACAGCCATCACACACACAGCCATCACACACACAGCCATCACACACACAGACATCACACACACAGCCATCACACACACAGCCATCACACACACAGCCATCACACACACAACCATCACACACACAGCCATCACACACACAGCCATCACACACAACCATCACACACACAACTATCGCACACACAGCCATCGCACACACAGCCATCGCATACACAGCCATCACACACACAACCATCACACACACAACCATCGCACACACAGCCATCGCACACACAGCCATCGCACACCCAGCCATCGCACACCCAGCCATCACACACACAGCCATCACACACAGCCATCACACACACAGCCATGACACACACAACCATCACACACACAGCCTCACACACACAACCATCACACACACAGCCATCACACACACAGCCATCACACACAACCATCACACACACAGCCATCACACACCCAGCGATCACACACACAGCCATCACACACACAGACATCACACACACAGCCATCACACACACAGCCATCACACACACAGCCATCACACACAGCCATCACACACACAACCATCACACACACAGCCATCACACACCCAGCGATCACACACACAGCCATCACACACACAGACATCACACACACAGCCATCACACACACAGCCATCACACACACAGCCATCACACACACAGCCATCACACACACAACCATCACACACACAACCATCACACACACAGCCATCACACACACAGCCATCACACACACAGCCATCACACACACAGCCATCACACACACAACCATCACACACAGCCATCACACACACAGCCATCACACACACAGCCATCACACACAACCATCATACACACAGCCATCACACACAGCCATCACACACACAGCCATCACACACAACCATCACACACACAGCCATCACACACCCAGCCATCACACACACAGCCATCACACACAACCATCACACACACAGCCATCACACACAGCCATCACACACAACCATCACACACACAGCCATCACACACCCAGCCATCACACACAGCCATCACACACACAGCCATCACACACACAGCCATCACACACACAGCCATCACACACACAGCCATCACACACACAGCCATCACACACACAGCCATCACACACCTAGCCATCACACACACAGCCATCACACACACAGCCATCACACACACATCCATCACACACACAGCCATCACACACACAGCCATCACACACACAGCCATCACACACCCAGCCATCACACACACAGCCATCACACACACAGCCATCACACACACAGCCATCACACACACAGCCATCACACACACAGCCATCACACACACAACCATCACACACACAGCCATCACACACACAACCATCACACAGCCATCACACACACAGCCATCACACACCCAGTCACCGCATGCCCCAAAGCGGCTTCTGTTTAGCCGGGATATAGAGGGGGGCTAAACGGGGCACGGCATGGGCTGGGGTAGAGATGGAGGTGATGGATGAGTGGGAGGGTGAGTGGCATGTGCTGGGGTCATCCCAGTCAACTACAAACCCCCCCTCTTCCTGCTAGGTACGGTCTGGTTCCTCTATTCTCTCCCCTCTCTCCCCTATCTCTCCCCTATCTCTCTCCCCTATCTCTCCCCTATCTCCCCTCACTCTCTCCCCTAACTCTCTCCGCTATCTCTCCCCTATCTCTCTCCCCTCGCTCTCTCCCCTGGCTCTCTCCCCTCGCTCTCTCCCCTCGCTCTCCCCTCACTCTTTCCCCTATCTCTCCCCTATCTCTCCCCACTCTCCCTTCTCTCCCCTCACTCTCTCCCCTCACTCTCTCCCCTCACACTCTCCCCTCTCTCCCCTATCTCTCTCCCCACTCTCCCCTAACTCTCTCCCCTCACTCTCTCCCCTATTTCTCCCCTATCTCTCTCCCCACTCTCACCTCTCTCCCCTAACTCTCTCCCCTCACTCTCTCCCCTATCTCTCCCCTCACTCTCCCCTCACTCTCTCCTCTCCCTCCCCGCTAGGCACGGTGTGGTCTCGCTACTCTCTCGTCATCACCCCGGTCAACTACAACCTCTTCGCCGTCAACCTCTTCCTCGCGTTCGCTGGTGGCACGCAGCTCTTCCGCATTTGGAGGTCAGAGACGATCAATAGTGTTGATCAATAGTGAGCAATAGCCAGGCCTGGGGGTGGTGTTTGCCGGCAGGCGCCTGGTGACCCGGTAAGCCACGTAACTCGGTCGGGCTCAGCCTCCAATGGCTACGTGGTGCCGTGCAGTGGGCCCAGCATCCTCAGGACGAGGGTGAGGGGCGCGTGCAATGCCAGTATGGCTGGGGGAGGGATGGTCCCAGATGGACCGGACCTTGGCGATGGACCCTCGCTATTGGGACGTGAAATGTCACGTCACTGGGGAGGAAGGAGAGCCGGTGCTGGTGGAGAAGGTGGAAAGGTAGCGACTAAATATAATCGCTTTCGTGACTGCAGTAATTCATATTCTTAGTTTTTTCGGTAAAGTCACGTTGAAGAGAAACAACAAAATAATAAAATATATATAAAACAATAAAAAATTCTCACGACGTTTCGACCATAACTCAAACGGTCATCTTCAGGTGTGTTGGTTTGCATAAATTTATTTTTAAACGGCGCATTTATTTATTTATAAAAACGTTAGCGTCACGCGCAGCGATTTGGCAGTTTACCCAGGACTAGTCCATCTATATTTTGAAAAGAGGAGGGGGGAGATTAAATTTTTTATAATGTATGCTGTCTGAAAGCCAATGTAAGCGTGAATAATCAATTAAGAACTGAAATGCTTTATCAAATCTTTCCAATGATTGCTAAGATAGAATCCATCTTCTCGGTTGAAATTGTCTCTGTGCTTGTATATGTGGATAGCCTCATGAACGAATCTCTCATGGAAGCCAGATGGCTTACAAAGAACCTCTGTCTTGGAAAAGTCAATGGCATGTGAGCCTACTGAATTAGAACAATGATCTGCTACGGCCGAGGTGTTGGTCCTACCGTGTTTAAGGTCTGCTTTGTGTTCACGAATGCGGTCCGAGACATGGCGTTTGGTTTCTCCAATGTAACTACTACCACAGAGGCAACTTAGTTTGTAGACACCAGGGTATTGTATGTCCGGAATCACATCTTTTACAGACGGAACCAGATCACGGATTTTATGTAATGTGTTGAACGGACCTGGATCTTGTGTTTATTCAAGATTTTGGAGATCTTTGTTGTGATCCCAGCAATGTAGGGTAAAGTGATGGTTTTGAAAGGCTCCTCAAGAGGGTTCTTCTTCATGGTTTGAGTGATAGCTTTGCGGATTGTATAGTCGGAGTAACCATTAGCCCTAAGAGCTTGGTGTATGTGCTTGAGTTCACTGCTTATGTGTTCCTGGTCGGATATGCATTGGGCTCTATGATACAGAGACCGGACCCACACACCAAAAAGTTAGACGTTAATAAAGTCGTAATTAATCGCAGTAACAGTTCTATTTCCGATGGTCTGAAATCCGTTTTAGCTAAAGGTCTAAACTTTGCAGTCACACCTAAACACATACCAGTTAATGATATAATTGCCCAAGTAGACGTTGCTCTCAGGGGCCTGGGTCACATCGCTGCAGACGTAGCAAGATCTGAAATCGCTGCAACCCTCAAAAACGCTAAGATGCCAGCTAGCAACCTCAGCAAAGATGAGCGTTTTGAATTATATAAATTAAAAAAGAGGAATGATATTGTAGTTCTCTCAGCTGACAAAGGCAATGCTACTGTCATCATGGATAAAATAGAATACAACAACAAAATTAAAGAATTACTCGACGATGGTAGTTATACAAAAATAAAAAGAGATCCCACCAACAGCCTCGTCACACAAACCAACAAAATAATTTCTGATTCAACCGCATTAATTGATCAATCTAAACAGTTTTCGTTGAAACCTTCTGCTGCCAGGCCACCAAGATTATACGGCTTACCAAAAATACATAAAGTTGATACACCTCTTCGTCCCATAGTCTCTACTATCAGCTCCCCCACCTACAAACTAGCTCGTTTTTTGTCTGAAATCCTGCGTCCTTTCACTGGAAAGACCACCTCTGCGGTACAAAATTCTACTCACCTGGTATCGACAATCAAGGGTATTTCCCTGTCCCCAGACGACCTGCTTGTCAGTTTTGATGTAGTTTCCTTATTCACCAAGGTTCCTGTACCTGACACCATTGCAATCATTGAAGACTTGGTTCATCAAGGACTAAACACTGAGGTACCCCCCCTGGTGAGACACTGTTTAACCAATACATACTTCACTTGGAATGGAACTTTCTACAAACAAACTGAGGGCACCCCAATGGGCTCCCCCCTTTCTCCAGTTATAGCTAACATTTTCATGGAGAAATTTGAGACTGACGCCATCCAGACTGCCACTCTGCGCCCAACCTTATGGAAGAGGTACGTGGATGACACTTTTGTCATCTGGCCACATTGCCGGCCTGCTCTAGACCAATTCTTCGACCACATCAATTCCATACACCCAGCCATCAGATTTACCATGGAAGTCGAAATAGATGGCAAGATACCTTTTTTGGATGTCCTAATTAAAAAGAGACCTGATGGTTCAATGAGCCACTCTGTCTACAGGAAAGCTACCCATACGGATGCTTATCTGAAACCGGATTCTCACCACCATCCATCACAGAAGAATTCTCTCATCAAGACTCTGTATCATAGAGCCCAATGCATATCCGACCAGGAACACATAAGCAGTGAACTCAAGCACGTACACCAAGCTCTTAGGGCTAATGGTTACTCCGACTATACAATCCGCAAAGCTATCACTCAAACCATGAAGAAGAACCCTCTTGAGGAGCCTTTCAAAACCATCACTTTACCCTACATTGCTGGGATCACAACAAAGATCTCCAAAATCTTGAATAAACACAAGATCCAGGTCCGTTTCAACACATTACATAAAATCCGTGATCTGGTTCCGTCTGTAAAAGATGTGATTCCGGACATACAATACCCTGGTGTCTACAAACTAAGTTGCCTCTGTGGTAGTAGTTACATTGGAGAAACCAAACGCCATGTCTCGGACCGCATTCGTGAACACAAAGCAGACCTTAAACACGGTAGGACCAACACCTCGGCCATAGCAGATCATTGTTCTAATTCAGTAGGCTCACATGCCATTGACTTTTCCAAGACAGAGGTTCTTTGTAAGCCATCTGGCTTCCATGAGAGATTCGTTCATGAGGCTATCCACATATACAAGCACAGAGACAATTTCAACCGAGAAGATGGATTCTATCTTAGCAATCATTGGAAAGATTTGATAAACCATTTCAGTTCTTAATTGATTGTTCACGCTTACATTGGCTTTCAGACAGCATACATTATAAAAAAAATCGTCTCCCCCCTCCTCTTTTCAAAATATAGATGGACTAGTCCTGGGTAAACTGCCAAATCGCTGCGCGTGACGCTAACGTTTTTATAAATAAATAAATGCGCCGTTTAAAAATAAATTTATGCAAACCAACACACCTGAAGATGACCGTTTGAGTTATGGTCGAAACGTCGTGAGAATTTTTTATTGTTTTATATATATTTTATTATTTTGTTGTTTCTCTTCAACGTGACTTTACCGAAAAAACTAAGAATATAAATCTAATCGGTCTCACCTCCACGCACAGCGTTGGCACTGGAACCAAACGTCCCTATCAGGGGTGATCTCTCTCCTATTCCAGAGTAGCAGCTGGTGAGAAGCTCCGGGCAGGTGTGGGGATACTCGTAAGCCCCCGGCTGGGTGCTGTTCAATTGGAGTTTGTCCCAGTGGATGAGGGGGTCACCTCAATGAGACTTCGGGTCTCAGAAAGAAAACTCTCACTTGTCTGTGCTTATGCGCCAAACATCGGTTCAGAGCGTTCATTCTTCTTAGAGTCGGTGGGTGCAGTGCTCGAAAAGTGCCGCCTACCGACTCCACAGTCTTCCTGGGTGACTTCAATGCTCACGTGGGAAACGATGGAGACACCTGGAGAGGCGTGATTGGGAGGAATGCCCCCCCCCCCCCCCCCCCCACTGATCTGAACCCGAACGAGGAGATGCTATTGGAATTCTGCGCTAGTCACGGAATGTCAATAACAAACGCCATGTTCGAACACAGGGTGCTCATAAGTATACTTGGTACCAGGGCACCAATGATTGACTTTATAGTTTTATCATCGGACCTAATGCCGTATGTTCTGGACACTCGGGTGAAGAGAACCGGACCTGGATCTTGTGTTTGTTTAGAATTTTGGAAATCTTTTTAGTAACGCCTGATATATGGTAGTGTGATGGTTTTGACCGGTCAAACCCATCACACTACCACATATAGCAGGCGTTACTAAAAGATTTCCAAAATTCTAAACAAACACAAGATCCAGGTACACAAAATTCGTGATCTGATCCCATCCGTGAAGGATGTCATTCCTGACTTACAGTACCCCGGGGTTTACAAATTGAGTTGTACCTGCAGGTGATTGCTATATCGGGGAGACAAAGCGACATGTTTCTGACCGAATTCGCGAGCACAAATCAGATTTGAAACACGGCAGAACGAATTCTTCTGCCGTAGCTGATCACTGTTACAACGCTGTGGGTGATCACGATATAATTTTCTCCGATACCAAGGTTCTTTGCAAACCCACGGGTTTTTATCAGAGATTTGTTCACGAGGCAATTCAGATCTACAAATACAAACACAATTTCAACCGAGAAGATGGTTTCAAATTAAGCAACCAGTGGAAAGATGTTCTAAATCGAACCAAACATTAAACTAATTTTCAATGGTACAGTATATTTTTCAAGTAGTGGTACCCCAAACTTTCGCAGCTCTTAAAAATTCCCTTTTCACACCATCAATAGGTAAACTCCCCCTCCCTCCCCGCGCCATCCGGCATGTTCACCCGCATGTACACCACCTCTACACCACCTCTATGCTAAGTCGACCAATCAAAAGCTAATTTTTATGCTAATTCCTTTGTCAAGGCACCTTGTTTCCTCGCACACAGCTTAAAGGTCCGCGGTCTGAGCGTGGCTGTGTTTCACTCCAGCGCTGTCCTCGAGACAGCCTGGTCCCTTCATCTGATGAAGGCCGCTTGTGTTGTGGCCGAAACGTCGTGATTTTGTTGTTTTATTTTTTTACCTACGTGACTTTACCGAATAGAACCAAAGAGTATGGATCCTTGCAGTCACGAAAGCTTTAAATCTAGAAAGGATATCAAGGCGCAGTCGAGGTATGGAGAGTATCCGCTATGGGGGTTTGTAACTGGGTGGCATCGCTGCCTCTTTGCCTCGTCAGTCTGATCTCCAGCGTGCACTCGAACGGTTTGATGCCGAGTGTAAAGCCGTTGGGATGAGGATCAGCAACCTCCAAATCTGAGGTCATGGTTCACTCCTGGGAGACGGTGGATTAGTCTCCCCAGGTGGGGGGGGGGGGGGGGGGGGAAAGCTGCCCTTAGTGGAGGAGTTTAAGTACCTGGGGGTCTCTTTCACGAGTGGTGAATGGGAGATCGTCCGGCGGATCGGTGCGGCGTCCGCAGTGTTGCGGGCGCCGCACCGATCCGTGGTAGTGAAGCGGGAGCTGAGTTCTAGAACAAAGCTCGCGGCTTGCAGGTCGGTCCACGTTCCCACCCTCGCCTGTGGCGATGAGCTTTGGGGTAATGACCGAAAGGATGGAATCGTATCTACGAGGGGCCGAAATGAGTGAGCCCGGCAGGGTTGCCGGGCTCGCCGCTCTCCGTGATGGTGCGAATAGCTCAGTAACTCCGGGAGAGACTCAGAGTCGAGCCGCTGCTCCTCCACATTGAGAGGAGCCAGTTGAGGTGGATCAGGCACCGGGTAGTGATGCCTCCCCCTGGAACTCTACCGGACAGCACTTCCCACTGGGCGAAAACCCTGGGGCCGGCCCTGGACACACTGGTGGGACTATGTCGCTCGGCTGGCCTGGGAACGCTGCCTGGGAATTCCCCAGGAAGCGTTACAATCTGTCGATGGGGAAAGGGAGGTCTGGACCGCCCTACTCAACATGCGGATTGAGAAACGAACGAACGAATAGTGGTGATTAATAGTTGTGATCAATAGGGATGATCAATGGTGTGTGTGTGTGTGTGCCTCCAGATTCGACCAAGAGCAGAAGGCCAAGGCAAAGCAAGAGGATTAGACGCAGCATACACACACACACCCACACACTTGCCCACCCACACACTCGCCCACCCACACACTCGCCCACCCACACACTCGCCCACCCACACACTCGCCCACCCACACACTCGCCCACCCACACACTCGCCCACCCACACACTCGCCCACCCACACACTCGCCCACCCACACACTCACCCACCCACACACTCACCCACAACAACCGCCATTCGCCACCGAGTGGCGGTGACGTCACCACGGTGCTCGTGCCAGGCTAAGTGCACTTTACATTCATGTGAACTATCGAAGGCTTGCTGGCAAGAGGAGGTCACGGGACAGACCCAGCTGGTGCCATGCGTTCACCGACCAAGAAGACTGTGCCCCCTGCTATCCCAACTCGCTGTCTTTTGGCTGCCCAGTGCTCCGCTCACTCACCCCCACACTGACCCACTCACTCACACTGACACACTCACACTGACACACTCACCCACACACTGACACACTCACCCCCACAAACACACTCACACACACACCGACACACTCACTCCCACATTGACCCACTCACTCACACTGACACACTCACCCACAGACTGACACACTCACCCCCACACTCACACCGACACACTCCCACACTGACACACTCACCCTTACACTGACACACTCACACCCACACACTGACACACTCACACACCCACACACTGACACACTCACACCCACACACTGACACACTCACTCACCCTCACACCCACACACTCTCTCACCCACACACTGACGCACACACTCATCCACACACTCACTCACCCCCACACTGACACACACACTTACCCACACACTAACACACCCACACACATTCACGAACACAAAGACAAATATCCCTGTGTCGCACACGCACAAAGCGCGCTAACCGCTGCGCCACCGCTCCCCGCTCAGTGCCGCTAATAATTTCGCGAACGCCTCCGGAGCTTTGCAAGGACCTCGGAGGCTTCACTCGACAGCTTCTTAAGCTCAAGGATCCACTCCCATTTCACTCCCTCCTCCTCGGCCCTCTCCTCTCTCCCACCCCCCCCGCCACCCACGGTAACCACCACGGGAGATCCCTGGGGGCCCTTCCGCTGGAGCTGCGGCCTCTCCCGTGTGTGCAAGTCGGGGGGGGGGGGGGGCAGTACTGTACTGTATGTACTGTAATAAATAAATAAGGTCGGTGCAAATCTTCAGCAGACCTTCCTGAGGGTCTGAGATCGGATCGTCGTTTTTTTTTTGGTGTCACCTTGATGCATGGTGATCGGTGTTGGTGCTGGAAGTTGCCCATCCACTCGGTCAGTTACCCACTCGCCTACGCCCGGCCGCCTTTGTCTCCCCAGTGGCGATGTTTTCATCATCGTGCCAGGTGCTCGTTTGAAGGCTGAGTCGACCTAGGAGTGGCCCAGGACTGGTTCAAATAATCGCTGTCACAACCCCTCAGGCCAAACCCAGACCCCGCCCACCACTCCACAGACCCCGCCCCATACCCCGTCCACCACTCCCCAGACCCCCGCTCACCACCTCCCTAGACCCCGCCCACCACTCCAGATCCCGCCCACCACCCCCCATACCCTGCCCCACCAGACCACGCCCACCATCCCCAAACCCTGATCACCAACCCCCCAGACCCCGCCCGCCACTCCAGGTTCAACGACCACCCTCTATACCCCGCCCACCACCCCCCCATACCCCGCCCACTACTTCCCAGACCTCGCCCACCACTCTCTAGACCCTGCCCACCACTTCCTAGACCACGCCCACCACTCCCTAGACCCCGCCCACCACTCCCTAGACCCCGCCCACCAGACCCCACTCACCACCCCCAGACCCCGCCCACCACCCCCCAAACCCCACGCATCACTCCCCAGACCTCGCGGGCCCCACTCATCAATTCACAACATTCACGCCTCTAGGTTTGAAGCTTTCGTGACTGCAAGGATCCATACTCTTTGGTTCTATTCGGTAAAGTCACGTAGGAGGTGCATGGGCCATGATGGACCAGGAGCGGGCAGGGACCATGACGGACCAGCAGCGGGGCGGGGGGGGGAGAAGAGTGAGTCCATCATGGCCCATGCACCTCCTACGTACATCGTGCCCATTTCTATGCTAATTCCTTTGTCAAGCGTTTTGCTTCCTCCCACACAGCTTAAAGGACGCGACCTGGGCTTGGCTGTTTTCACTCCAACGCTGTCCTCATGACAGCACGGTCCCTTCACCTGATGAAGGCCGCTTGTGTTGTGGCCGAAACGTCGTGATTTTTGTTATTTTATTTTTTACCTACGTGACTTTACCGAACAGAACCAAAGAGTATTCACGCCTCGTCTGTGACTCGTACTTTTGCTACGCGCAAGGGGCGGGAAGCGAGGGGTCGAATGACACCCCCCCCCATCACCACCATCAATACCATCACCATAATCAACATCAACACCACCATAATCATCATCACCATCATCAATACATAGCTCATAGTTCCATTTCAAGAGCCATTCGGCTCTTGAATCGGGTGCAACCGCAACAAACAAACAAAACATGAACAAGAAAACATCTTAAAGTGAATTTGTGACTGTACAAACAGAAATTCCAGGAAAAAACAGCAAAATATTCCTGAAATAGCACCGTACACCAACGCTGTGTGCAAAAATCCCAGTGGGATGCAACAACAACAACCACAATACAACTTAGATTAAGGACATCAGTCTAACTCCATACTACAATAAACAAAAACATGGC